CTTCCATCACCATCAATGAGATTTGTCTGTGCTTTGACTTCATGTAAATGGAATCATACAATATGAATTTTTTTGTATGTGTGTCTGGCTTATTTTACTCAACTTAATGTTTCTGAAATTCTTCCATGTTTTTTGCCTATATCAGTCCCCTTTTTGTTTTTTTTTTTGTGAGGAGGACCAGCCCTGAGCTAACATCCGATGCCCATCCTCCTCTTTTTTTGCTGAGGAAGACTGGCCCTGGGCTAATATCCGAGCCCATCTTCCTCCACGTTATAAGGGACGCCGCCACAGCGTGGCCTGACAAGCGGTGTGTCGGTGCGCGCCCGGGATGCAAACCAGCGAACCCTGGCTGCCACAGTGGAGCGCACACTTAACCGCTTGCGCCACCGGGCCGGCCCCTATATCAGTCCCTTTTTATTGCTGAGTGGTATTGATGGACATTTGGGTTGCTTCCAGCTTTTTGGCTATTACGAATATAACTACTATGAACATTCATGTACAAGTCTTTATGTTTTCATTGCTCTTCGGTAAATAGTTAGGAGTGGAATTGGGTAAAACATCCAGGAGTAAAATTGCTGGGTCATAAGGTAGATGTATATTAACTTTATAAGAAATTACTAAATGATCCTTCAAATCCGTTATGCCATTTTCGGCTCCCACCAGCAGCAATTCTAGTTGCTCCACATTTTCACCAACATTTGATGTTGTTGGTCTTTTAGTATTAGCCTAATGGACGTTAAATGGTACCTCATTATGGTTAAATTTGCATTTCCCAGCGGACTAATTATGTTGAGCAGCTTTTCATGTGTTTGGTGACCATTTGTTTATTTTTTGGGTTCATTTTTAAAACAAATTTTTTTATTGTTGATTTGTAAGAGGTCTTTGTATTTCAGAATTTCTTCCTTAGATATTTTTTAGTCCAAGAAATTTTGCCTACCCCAAGGTCATGAAAGTATCTTTATGTTTTCTTCTAGAGTCTTTATGGTTCTGAATTTTATATTTAGGGCTATGACCCGTTTTGACTTGATTTTTGTGCATGGGCTAAGGTAGAGGTTGAGGTTCATTTCTTTTTTTCCATACAGTATCCAGTTGTTCCAGCACCATCTGTTAAAAAAAAATTATTTTCCTCATTGAATTGAATTGGTGCTTTGGTCAAAAATCAGTTGACCATATATGTGTGAGTTTATTTCTGCACTCTTCCTGTTCCATTGATCTATTGTCTATCCTGACGTAAGCACTACACTGTTTTGGTCACTGTGGCTTTATAGTAGATCTTAAAGTCATGTAGAGTAAGTACTCCAATTTTGCTTTTCTTTTCCAAAGTTGTTTTGGCCATCCTCGATTCTTTGCATTTCCATATCAATCTTAGAATCAGCCTATCAATTCATCAAAAATGTCTGCTGAAATTTCGATAGAGATTGTATTTAATCTAAAGATCAAATTGGGAGATATCTTAAATATATCGAGTTTGCAATCCATGAACATATGTAATTCTTTTATTTTGGTCTTTGATTTGTTTCAGCAGGATTTTCAGCATAGAGGTTTTGCACATCTTTCATTAGATTTATTCCTAGTATTTCATGTTGCTTATGCTATTTAATATGGTGTTTTGTGATTTAATCTTCCAGTTTTTTGTTGCTAGTATGTAGAACTACAATTAATTTTTGTATATTGGTTTTGTATCCTGCAACCTTGTTTTATTTATTAGTTCTAGGTGTTTGTTTTGTTTTGGTAGATGCTACCCTTAAGGCCCTTTACTCTGGACTTCCATAATAGGCCCTGTATTGAGAAGCAGGAATGTGACGATTTATACTGGGCAGTGTTTAACTTACATTGTTGGGCCCCACCCGAAACATTAAAACTGAGTCTTTTGGTGGGAGGATTGAGGGGGCAGGGGAGTGTCCAGCATCGGGTATTTGTAAAGTTCCTCGGGAGATTCTAGAAGTGCAGTTGAGAACCCCTGATTTAGAAGGTGCCGGGTGGCAGACAGGCCCAAAGTCCACCCCTGCCTGAGGGGGTCAGGAAGGGATGACCTGCGTCGCGGGCCGTGGAGTGTCCGGCCCCAGGCCGAGGCCACCCCCTCCTGCCTTGGGAAAGGGCAGACAAGTTCCGGGTTCCCTCCTAGGCCAGGGCGAGTGGGAGGAAAGAGCGCCTCACAGACAGGCGCCTCCCGCCTCTCCCTTACATAAACAGGCGGCAATAAATGCTGTCACCGCCGGGCTCACTGTCGCCTCCACTTCCCCCGCGGACACACCTGTCTACACCCCTCTCTCCCCCAGATAGCCCACAAGACACCAGAGCTATTCCCCGCAGGCTTCTCCGGATGAACCGACCTCCCCGGTTACGGACGAGGAAACTGAGGCTCAGAGGGGCCAGGGATTCCCGCTAGGCCCCCCTAGTCCGACCCTATTCCCATCGCCCCTCCCAGGTACTCGAAAATTAAAGATGAACTGGAGGAACTGGACCGCATCACAGAGCAGACGCTCTACGACCTGTACAAATACAACTCCTCCAACACCCTCGTGGAACATCCCCGCGGCCGTCGCGACCTCAGGGAGACCCTGCCGCACCCCCTGCAGCGCCTGCGGGGCCCGGCCCCGCCTCAAGAGGCCCGCAGAGCCCGCAGCGCGGCCTCCAGCGTGCGGGACAACAACCCCCAAGTGAACAGGAAGGACTGGAAGATCGGCTTCCAACTGGTAAGGCCCCGCCCCGGCCCGAGGGCCCCGCCCCGCCCACTCGCCCCGGCCCTCCTGGCCCCGCCCACTCTCGGGACTCCGCTCTCTTTCCGGACCCGCCTCTGCTGCCTAGCGATAGGAGGCGGGACCTCGTCGGCTTGCTGGCTAAATAAATAAATTAATTAATTAAATAAATGAATTGTGAACAATAAGATTAAACAACATCTCTTTGTGCTTCAGCTTGTGGGGTCTCCCTGCTGGGGGCCCCCGTGGGAGCGTGTAAGCGGCGGGAAGTCACATCTGTCGTGGAAAATGCACCTTTCTGAATTCCAGTCCCCACTGCTGGGACACAGTCGGGGTCCTGCAGTGTGATGGGGAACTGGGGCTCTGCTGGCCTAAGACAGAGAATAAGGAGACACTAAAGGGGAAACTTGAAAAAATTGTTTTAAGGTTTAATTTTTTTAAAACTTAAATAAAAGGGAGAGTAAGAGGAAGTGGGAGAGAAGAGAGGGAAGAAGAAACGCCGTCTTTAGTGAGAGTGGGCCATGCTCAGGAGACCGGAGTTCCCGTCCCAGCTCTCTTGCTGGGAGGAACCTTCATCCCTCAGTCTTCCCGACAGTGAAAAGGGGAGAAGAATCCTTGCTCCACGCTCCTGAAGAGGCTGTAAAATGACTTGCAGTGCGTGCACCTCCTCCCTGGCCTGCTGCTCCCTTAATCCCGTGCTCTCCTCAGGGCTTCTCTTTCTCTCTGCCTTCTGTCCTTCCCGGCTCCTGGCTCCTCACCAGTCTATCAGTCCTCAGGACCCCAGACCACTCATTCCTTGACCTTGACCCCACCCCGCTGCCTTGACCTCCTCTGCTGCCAGCCCTCTGATGCTCTGTTCTCTGTGTCCAGTGCAACCAGAACAAATCGGACTGCTTCTACCAGACATACTCGTCAGGGGTGGATGCAGTGAGGGAGTGGTACCGCTTCCACTACATCAACATTCTTTCGCGACTGCCTGCGGACACCTCTCTATCCCTAGAGGAGGACGAAGTGGACAACTTCATCTTCGCCTGCCGCTTCAATCAAGTCTCCTGCAACCAGGCGTGAGTCCATCCTGCCTGGCGTGTGCTCCCCATGGCTCTCCTTCCCTGGGTCAGCCTGAGGCCCAGCGTGGGTGGCACCCAGGAAATCCTTGTTCACTAAATAAATGCCCGTGGGGAGTAGGGGGCAGCATTGACCTCAGGTCCAAACCTCAGCCCCAGGAATCACCCGTCAGGACTTCTGGTGCTCCCTGAGGGGCTGGGTCTGAATGAGGCAGCTTGGTACGAGAAACCAAGGGCTAGAAGGACGGTTTTCTGTCTTTCAAAGGCCTCTTTCTCACTAGCATCAAACTCAAAAGTGCCTGGAAGACCATCTGGTCCCATACTCCCCTTTCTCAGATGAGGTGGGCAGTAGTGGTGTGGTGGAAACAGCATGGACTGAGTGAGATACTAAACCTGAGTTCCTGCTCTGGCTCTATTACTTCCTGGCCACATGACCCTGGGCATTTCACATCACTCTCCAGGGACTGTTTGTAAAACGGTGAAAAAATGAGATTCATTCAATGTTCATTCAACAAATATTTTTGACTGTCTGGGCTATGTGCCAGTCACTGTTCTAGGCATGTGGAATACCTCAAAAAGGAAAATATATATAATCCTTGCCCTGTTGGCACTTTTACTCCAGTGATAAAGAAGATGATTACACCCATCTCCAAGTGCATGAGATAACAAATGGGAGGGTACTTGGTAAACCGCCATGAATGATGGGTCTCTTGTACTCAGTGACCTGCTCTATGCCACCAGACCAGCCCTAGCTAAGGATTCTTCCCACTCTACCGCACTGCCCGCCAGGCATTCTTTGTGTCACGACTCCTGTCATAATGTCATTGCAAAGAGGTCATAGCAGCTTGCAGCTCTCTGAGGGCTGGGAGAGACTAGGAGTGAGGGAGGTTCCCTCTGTAGCCCTGGCCCCTCCTACCCCTGCCTTCCTCTCTCTACTCCTGCTCCTCGATTTTCAGGCGCTGTCTGCCTGCTTCTGCCTGGCTGAGGAAGGGTGCTGAGGCAGCGTCTCCACTCTGCAGGGAGCCCTTCCCTCCCGTGTCGCTGCAGACTGGTGGCAGGGCCTTGTGTCCCCTGCTTCTGCGCCACCCCTCACCTGGCACACACACTTTGCCTGGCACACAATTTGGTTCCTGTCTCTAGTCTTCGTGTTTGAGGACAGCAGCCACCAGCCGGGAAGAGAGACAGTACCTGCACTGGAGCCGCGGTCAGCCCACCCCTGCCACCGAGTCTAAATGTCACTTCCCACCGTCCTCTCACTCTGCCTGCCTCTTGTCCTACCTCCCCATCAACGGAAAGTCCATCAGCTCAGTCTTGCCACTTGGGTCACTTCCTTAGCTCAGAGCCTCATCATTTCTCTCCTGGGTTATTCTAACCCACCTGCACCACGTGTTTTCTGTCTCTAAATCCTCCCCTCGTTCTGCAGCCACAGGAAGCTTCAGACTTCACTGTTCTTACTCCACTTCACTGCACGTAACTGTTCCAGTTAGTCCTGTTTAATGTCCCCCAGTGTCTCTCCCAGCCTGCAGAATCAAGTCAATGCTCTTTGTCTTGACTTCCTCACCTCTCTCCTCCCCCATGGCCAACACTGTTTCTCCTCTCTGTAATCTGTTCTTCAATAATAGCTTTATTGAGATATAATTCACATACCATAAAATTCATTCTTTTAATATATACAGTTCAGTAGTTTTTAGTGTATTCACAGAATTGTGCAAGTTACCACTATCTAATTTTAGAACATTGTCCTCACCCCCAAAAGAAGCCCTGTATCCATTAGCAGTCGCTCCCTCTTCCCTCCCCTCCTCAAAGCCCTGGGAACCACTAATCTACTTCTGTCTCTATGGATTGCTTATTGTGGACATTTCATATAAATAGAATCATACAATATGTGGTCTTTTGTGTCTGGCTTCTCTCACCCAGCATGTTTTCAAGGTTCGTCCATATTGCAGCATGTATCAGTCAAACTACATTCCTTTTATGGCTGAATAATATTCCATTGTATGGATATGCCACATTTTACTTACCTGTTCCTCAGTTGATGGACATTTGGGTTGTTTCTACTTTTTGGCTATTGTGAATAATGCTGCTATCAACATTCCTGTACAAGTTTCTGAATGGATGTATGTTTTCATTTCTCTTAGGTATGTACCTAGGAATGGGATTGCCGGGTCATATAGTAATTCTATATTTATCATTTTGGGGAACCACCAGACTGTTTTCCAAGTGGCTGCACCATTTTACATTCCCCACAGCAGTGTATGAGGGGTGCAGATTCTCTACATCCTCCACTTGTTATTGTCTGTCTTTCTGACTAGAGCCATCTTGATGAATCCCTATAATCTTAATAGTAAATTTATATAGCTCTTACTAAGTGCTAAGCACTGTTCTAAGTGTAATTTATCCTCATAACTCCCCGGTGAAGTAAGTACCAATATTATCCCCACTTTACAGATGAGGAAACTGCAGTACAGAGAGATTAAGTAACGTGGTTGGTCCCCCAGCTAATACTTGTTAGAGCTAGGATCCAGATACAAGTAGTTTAGTTCTGGAGTCTGTGCTCTTAACCACCATGTTATACCGCTTCTCTTATAGTCTCATAATGTGCTTAATGTATATCTCTTTGTATGTGTTTTTGCAAAATGTGTACGTAATGTGTACATAGTGTTGTGTTATATATCTCATTTCACCTTTTACTTTTTTTTACTAAGCTCTATGTTTGTAAGACTCATCCCTGTCACTCCATCGAATCCATTGATTCCACCTGCTGTAAACAGCCCATGGTGTGTATCCCCCACATTGCCCCTGTGCCCTCTCCCGCTGAGCAGGGCTCACAGGCCCCTCAGGACTGGCCTCTGCTCCCTTCCGTAGCCTCTTCTTCCATCTCTCCCTGAAAGCAGCCTCTGCTCTGGAAATGCTGGCTTCCTAGCACTTCCCAGAATGTGCACCAGTATTTCACACTCTGCCTCTGTTTGTCAAGGCCAGTGGAGTCTTCCAGTTCATCTAGTTCCAATCTCCTCATTTTACAGATGAAGAGAATAAGCTTAGAAAAAATGACTTGCTCAAGGCCATACAATCAGAACCCCACTCATTCCTGCCCTGGGATCTGATCTTCTTCCCCTCAGCTCCACGTTCTCACTGGTCTCACTCCCTCCTCTACTCTGTTCCCTTCCATTTCTCCATTTCATTCATTCAACAGATGTTTATTAGCTATCTCCTACATGCCAAGAACTATGCGGTTAACCCAGAGATGATACAGAGATGAGTGAGATGTGGCTCCTTTCCTCGAGGAGATCACAATCCAAATGGGGAACTAAGATTTAGACGTGTAAGAAGCTAGGGACACTGCAAGAGTTTTCATAATGCAACATAGTGACACGAAAGAGGTTACAAGGCCAGTGAGGTCAGGTGCCCTGGTGGGAGGAGCCTGGGCTAGAAGGTAGATGACTTGGGCTTGAGTCCAGAGTTCATTATCACTGTGTGACCTCGGGCAGCTACTTGACCACTCTGAGCCCCAGCTTCCTCTTCTGTGATGTGGGGATGATGCCCTCACAGGCTGTTGGTTGGAGTGACTGAAGTGGCATGGGTAAAGCTCCCAGTGCTGTGTCAGCACATAGCAGATGATCAGGAAACAAGCGTGCTGACAGTCTCACTCTCCCTGACCCCTACACTTTCCTCTCTCACCCTATTCTCTCTCTCTCCTGGATAGGAATTACTCTCACTTCCACCACCCGATGTATGGGAACTGCTACACTTTCAATGACAAGAACAACTCCAACCTCTGGATGTCTTCTATGCCTGGGATCAACAATGGTGAGCAACTCCTCATTCCCTCAGTCCTCAACCTCTGCCTCAGCCCTTCCCACAGCCCTGCACCCACATCCTAGAGACGCTGTGTGCTCTGGGCCTCACCACAACATGCCCACCTCTGTCCTGTGATGTGGGGATGTGATGTCCTCTCTGTTCTTTCTCCCCCATGGGCACCGCATTGTCCGTTCCAGGCGTGATGGGATCCTTCCTGCCTGCCCTCAGAATCCAGCTCATCTGTGCAATTCCTGGCCTTGCTCCCCTTGCAGCATTAGAGACTAGGCAGGGTGGGAGGGAGGGTTTCCATCCCCTAACGCTTCTCCAAGACCTTTCCCCTACTCTACTCCCCCAGGTCTGTCCCTGACGCTGCGCACAGAGCAGAATGACTTCATCCCCCTGCTGTCCACAGTGACCGGGGCCAGGGTAATGGTCCACGGGCAGGATGAGCCTGCCTTTATGGATGATGGCGGCTTTAACTTGCGGCCTGGTGTGGAGACCTCCATCAGCATGAGGAAGGCAAGGACACTGCCTGGGGGAGGAGAGCCCCAGATTGCAGAGGGGCAGAGAGAGGGCATGGGAGGTGGACTTGACAGCCAGAAGACTGTGGAGGGAGGTCATGCAGACTGGGCTTTGAGCACGCGGATGACTTGAGGAGCAGAAATCGGGGGCGGGGGGCTGGCAGAGGGGCATCAGGAAGTAGGGACCTGAAGAGTGGACCTTGGGTGACAGTGCTGAGAAGAGGTTCAAGACATGCTTAGGAGTCCAGGGGATGCCCGGGGCCCAGTGTCCTTGAAAGTAGCACAGGGATGGGTGTTGGGGCCACTGGGGGCATGTTTTGAAAAGGTGAGGCAGACAGGAGAGGCTGGCAGGGTAGGAGATACAACCTGGGACTGAAAGAAGACAGAGAATTCAGGAAGAGGTCTGGGCCACTTGCTCTGACCTCTGACCTCTGACTTGGCATGTGTGGGTTCACAGGAAGCCCTGGACAGACTTGGGGGCAACTATGGTGACTGCACCAAGAATGGCAGCGACATCCCTGTCCAGAACCTTTACCAGTCCAAGTATACACAGCAGGTGAGGCCAGCCGGTTTCTATGGCAGCCATCTCCCAGGCCTACACTGTTGGTCAGTCAAAGCTGGAGGGCGTGTGAGTGTGTGTGTGTGTGGGGGAGGACCAGTGGAAAGAGGGATGGAGGCTCGGGGCAGAGAATTGTTTGTCCTTCCCTTACCTGCCTCTTCTGGGCTGTGTGGGGGAGGGCAGGCCTGAACCCCCTTCCCCTTCACTCTCCTCTCCTCCAGGTGTGCATTCACTCCTGCTTCCAGGAGAGCATGATCAAGGAGTGTGGCTGTGCCTACATCTTCTATCCGCGGCCCCTGGGTGTGGAGTTCTGTGACTACAGGAAGCATAATTCCTGGGGTGAGACTCCAGGGAGTCCCGGGCCTGCCCCATCTGACCCCAGGACTTTCCCAGAGCCCTCTCCTCTCAGCACCCCGTCTGTGGGGCGGCTTCTGGCTCCCGCTGGCCCTGACTAACTCTCCCTCTCTCTCATTTTCCAGTCCTCGGACTTGCCTCTCTCAGTTTCCTTTCACTCTCTGTCTCTCTCCTCCATCTCTGTTCCTCCCTCAGAGCTTCTCTCTCTCTCTGTTTTGGCCTCTGTGTGTCTGTAAAGGAATGGCCTCATTTAAAAATAACTTCGGCAGGAGGAAGGAAGAGCACGTGAGGAAAACCTCCCGTGCTCTACAGTGTGCCTGCTGAGGTTTCAGTGCACGCTCTGTATTAGCCTCTGGTCTTGCTCCTCAGGGCCCGGTGAGCACAAGACAGCTCGCTGGGTGCAGGAAGAAGATATGAGAAGTTATATGCATCTATCTCATTCCCTGACATCTTCCATTTTATGTGTTTTATAATGTACATATGTATCAATTCATTAGTAGCTCATATGTAATTTATAAACCAAATATATATATGAGAGTTGTTTAAGAATTTTTTACCTACAGGAGGGCACAATCAAAAAAGTTTGGAGAGCACTGGATTCACTTCCTTATCCTGGTCTGGAAGCGGCAAATCCCTTTTCCTTGTCACAATGGCTGAGTCATTCAGCAGGGAAGCTGTGTACGAGGAAGCTGAGAGAGAGAGAAAATCCCAAGCTAGAGATTAGAGAATGTGGGGCTGGCGTTCCTGGTGTGCATCCTCTGATCTGGCGCATCTGACCAGGCTCCCGGGCTCCCCCAGGCCCAGCGTGCCCAGAGGAGGTGGGCATGGGCTACTGCTGGAGGAGACGAGCCTTCACGCCTCTCAGGGGATATGGCAGGGGCACTGCGGGCCCCAGAGTTTAGTGTCTGCCGGTCTTGGCTCTGTCTGTGATCTTTTCTGCCTCCTTTCTTCCCTGGGTCTGCTCCTCACAGCTCTCTCCCCTGCCTGTGCTTTGCAATCATGGCCTCCCGGTTCCTGTCTCGCTGACCTTAGAAGATCATAGCGCATCAGAGCTGGAGGGAAACTCAGAGGCCATGTGGCCTCACCTTCTCCTTTCTCAGATGAGCAAGCCGAGGCCCAGAGGGAAGACGTGACGTCCCAGGACATGCAGAGCCGGGTCGCCCGGCCCGCTGCTTCCCCTGCTCCCAAACAATGATTGCTAAGTGGTGCTGAGTTTGAAGATTGGTGACGGAAAAATAACAATGCTGATTCCTGAGAAGCTGTGAGGATGAGGGAGAGGAACTAAGACAAAAAACACAGTCTGCAGTTTCCTGAGGACTGCTTACTCCCCAGAGAAAAGCGTCCAGCTGCTTCCCATTCTTCCTAATTAAAGATCCCCAGCCCTGGTAGATGGAGGAATTTGGGTCAGAAACAGAGAAGGACTTCCGGACTGGGTGACTAAAAGTAGCAAGAATGACAAAATAACCTTACTTAGTATTTGGGAAATAGGGGAGAGGGGGATCCATAATTCTTTTTTTTTTTTCTGGTAACAGCTTTGTTGAGATAATTCATATCCCATATAATTCACCCATTTAAAGTGTGCAATTCAATTTTAATATAGTTTTAGTTTTTAATCTCGTCACAGAGTTGTGCAACAATTGCCACAATCAATTTTAGGATATTTTGATCACTCCAAAAAGAAATTTTGTACCCATTAGTACTACCCATTCCCTGCACCCATGGGCCCTGTCCCTTCTCCATCTCCCTAACTGACCCTGGCAACCACTAATCTACTTTCTGTCTGTATAGCTTTGCCTATTCTGGACATTTCATATGAATGGAATCATACAATATGTGGTCCTTTGCGACTGGCTTCTTTTATTTAGCATGATAATGTTAAGGTTCATCCACCTTGTAGCATGTATCAGTACTTCACTCCTTATTATGGCTGAATAATATTCCAGTGTATAGCTATACCACATTTTGTTAATACATTCATCAGTTGATGGACATTTGGGTTGTTTCCACTTTTAGGCTATTGTGAATAATGCTGCTGTTACATTTGTGTGAACATATGTTTTCAGTTCTCTTGAGTATATACCTAGGAGTGGCATTGCTGGGTCATATGGTAACTTGATGTTTAACATTTTGACAAACTGCCAGACTATTTTCCAAAGTGACTGTACCATTTTACATTCCCAGCAGCAATGTATGAGGGTTCCAGTTTCTCCACATCCTCACTAACACTTATTATTGTCTTTTTTTATTATAGCCATCCTAGTGGGTGTGAAGTGGTATCTCATTGTGGTTTAATCTCATTATTCTTACACAACAATTGTTCCCATTTTTCTTTTTGATTTAAAAATTTTTGTCCATATCCTACACATCTTTACATAGGAGTATCCTGTTTTACTTTATTTTCCTCACTTAGCTTAATTTCTTAAATATTTCTTGGTGCTGGCACTCAGGAGGCATCTCTAATGCTACATAATACTCTTGGGTGGGTGCCCAGGGATCTTGGGAGACCTCTTGGGTGTGGGGTGGAGAAGGTTGAAGTGCCCTAGGGAAACGGGCACCTCTCTGCACCCACAGGCTACTGTTACTATAAGCTCCAGGATGCCTTCTCGTCAGACCGCCTGGGCTGTTTCACCAAGTGCCGGAAGCCATGCAGGTGAGTGTCCCCTTCCCCTGGGGCGCAGGTTGGGCAACTGGCTGCTTGGCTGGTAGAATGTGGGATACTCAGCTAAGCCTTTGAGTGGGAGAGCCCCACCCCATCACTGAACACCTTTCCCCATCCCCAGTGTGACCAGCTACCAGCTCTCTGCCGGTTATTCACGATGGCCCTCAGTCACATCCCAGGTAAAGTGGGGGAGGGATGGGGGATGTATGTGCGTCACAAGTGTGTGTGTGTGTGTGTAATGCTGTGGTCTTCTCTGGGTGTATGTGTATGGGTGTGTAAGCCTGAAAACTATGGGGGTGACCCCATTGACACCCCTGTTCTTTCCCAGGACTGGATCTTCCGGATGCTCTCCCTACAGAACAATTACACCATCAACAACAAAAGGTCAGTCCCGGGAAAGGAATCCTTGGGAGGGAAAAGGAACTGGAGAGTGGAATTGCTACAGTTGTTTGGAGGAGGGTGTTTGAGAGGGTCCGAGAAGTTAATCGTCTGCCATTTCTTCCCACCCTCTCCCTTACTCCAAAGAAATGGAGTTGCCAAACTCAACATCTTCTTCGAGGAGCTAAACTACAAAACCAGTTCTGAGTCTCCCTCTGTCACGGTATGTCCTGCCTCACTGAGCCTGTGATCCTCTTGGGGGTCTTAGGGGGGTGGCTGTCAGAGAAAATAAGGGGTTGCCTCTGTGGGGCCAGAAGGGTCTGGGCCTTGATGATAGGGGACCAGAGAAAGGGGAGGAGGCCAGGGTGAGGTTGGAGGGTTGGAAGAAGGGGAGCTCTGCTGAGGGATGATGTCTCTGGGGGCAGTGGGAGGGAAGGGTGTGCCAGATGGGTATGCCTTGGACAGAAGTGGTCCTGGGGGCCACCAAGAGGCTGAGAGGGGTGAGTGAGGGCCTCAGGTAAGGAGGGATGGGGCATCCCTGCTGGAGCCCACCTAGGGCCCTCTGCAGTGGTCAGTGTGCCTCTCTCCCTTACAGATGGTCACCCTTCTGTCCAACCTGGGCAGCCAGTGGAGCCTGTGGTTCGGCTCCTCGGTGCTGTCGGTGGTGGAGATGGCCGAGCTCATCTTTGACCTCGTGGTCATCACATGCCTCATGCTGCTCCGGAGGTTCCGAAGCCGATACTGGTCTCCAGGGCGAGGGCGCAGGGGTGCCCAGGAGGTGGCCTCCACTCCAGCTTCCTCCCTCCCCTCCCATTTCTGCCCATACCCTGCATCCCCCTCCTCATCCCCACCAGGCCCTGCTGCCTCCTCGGCCTTGACAGCCCCTCCACCTGCCTATGCCACCCTGAGCCCCTGCCCATCTCGTTCCGGCTCGGTGGGGTCCAGCTCCACTGCCTGTACTCCCAGGGAGCCCTGAGGGGGAAGGAGAATGTCCCCCTGGAAGGCAGGCGCTTCCCCTGTGGGAGGCGACCAGCCTTGACAGGATTAAAGAATGTCTTGGGCCTCCTCTCAGAGCTGCCCAACTGCCTTTGGTCTGGGGGAGGGAAGCAGGATGATGAGGGGCCACAGAAATTGCCTGGAGAACAGGGCCCAAGGAAGCTGCCCAGAATTGACCTGGCTCCTGCCCTGTAGCCCCTGGTCCTGCCTCTAGAACACTCTGGTTTCCCCTCCCAAGTGCAGACAAGAAAAGTCTCCTTTTCCCTTGGATCAGCCAAGCCAAACTTGGACCTTTGACAAGGAACTTTCCTAGGAAACAACTGATGATTAGAACAAAACAAACAAGGGCACACAAAGGCATGCGCAGGTCTCCTACCCAGAGAGGACTGAAGCCAGCCCCACACTGGCCTGGCCACACTGCTTTCCAGTGACACAGACATGTGCTCCTTTTCTTGAACTTGGGTGGGGAACCCCACCTGAAAGCCCCCTTGGTTAGTTCTTGGGCAGTTCTCCCTCCCTGACACCCCAGGGCAGGGGCTGGAGCAGAGCAATGTAGTAAAGGCTTGGCCATTCCCGGTCGGCCCCAGGACTCTTCTAGCCTCATCTACCCCATGCCCGCACAGAGCCACACCCCAGTGCCTCTGCCCTGTGTCTTTCATGCTTCTGCATATTTGCTCAAACTATTTCCTCAGCTGGAAGTTTCCCCTACCATCTGCTGGAGAACTCCTATGCATCCCTTAGAACCCTGATCAGACACCACTACTCCTTTGAAAGCTTCTGCCCCATCCTGTCTTCTCCGGAATTGATCACTCCCTTCTCCTCTGGGCTCATGTAGCACACCATAACATCTACTGGAGTGTTGATGTTGCATTACACTTTCTTGTTCATTTGTGTCTGCCTCCTCAACTAGACTGTGAGCTCCTTGTAGTCAGGGACTGAGTCTTGTTCATTTATGTATCCTCAGGGTCTAGCCCAGTGTCCTGCTTGGAGCAAGTAGGCAGGTATTCAATAAATGTTTTTTGCATAAAGAATGTCTGGAGACCTGCATGAGGGCACAGTGAAGGGGGTAGGGAATGGACACAAGTTCCTAGGTCACTGCCCAAGTTCCTGGGAGGTCTCAGGGTGGGGGGAGTGGAGAGACTCCCATACCCCTAGGCTTCACTATGGAGGTGAGCATTCTTCAGGGGCCTTAGGAGAGACAGACTGTCCTGCTAGCTCCTCCATGGGCGTGGCTGAGCATCTCCTATGGACCCATCACCATGTTAGGATGGGAGGGCGAAGACATGGTGCCGTTCTGCCCCCAGGAGACCTACCAGGCAGTGCTTGGGATGACTTGTCCCCGTCCACTGTCTGAACTTTCTTTTCCTTCCCAACTTTAGTTACCATCATCAGTAATCCTCCTCTTCAGTCGCTGAGTACCACTCACCACCCAGCTGCAACATAATGTCCTCATCTGCCCACCTCCCCATCTACTGCCCGGTAGTGGTGGAGGAGAATGAGACTCGGGCCAGACAGTCTGAGGTTCTTCTGGAACCTCAAAGCCTCATATATTCTCATTCTTGCATCATCACAGAGAGAGCAGCAGCAAGACTCCTCCCAGCTTTCAGTAAAGGAGAAATTGAGGGATGTCTGAGTGGAACCCCTGTTTCTTCTCCCACTCCACTATCAGACATGGAACCCAGAAGTTACTCTTCCTCATCGTCTTTGGGGACCCATGCCCTGCTGCCTTGGTCTTACTCCCCTCAATTATAATCTGCCTGTCCGGAGGAGCCAAGCGAATCTTGGGGAGAGAGGAGGAGATGGTGAAGGGAATGGGGAGGTAGAAAAGGGTGTGATCAGGAACTGACGTGATGACTTCTGACTTCCCTTTCCTGGACTCCAGCTGATGAGGGGAAAACAGTGGTGTCACAACAGGCTCCTCTGTCAGAGCCCCCAGGTTCAGCCTGCCCTTGTCTGCTCTTGGCCGCAGCCTAAACTCAGTCTTGCCCACCTCATCCCCAGCTCCCTCTCCTCTGGTGGGGTGGGCAGGACCTGTGGACAGAGCTGGATCTATTATGGATGACAGCAGTCAGCTACACCACCCTTCCGCCCCCTCCCTCCCTCTGCCCCCAACCCATGCTGGAATTTCTCCTGGCTTGCTGCATTCCCACCTTCTCTCCATCCCTTATCTATGCGTTACCCTGGAGGGGTTTTTTTTTTTTTAGCTTTAAAAATAGTTTAATTCCTCCTTCACAAACACACGAGCCTCCTGACCATTATGTAAGGCACCAGAAATTAAATAAAAACTTATATTAGAATATATTTGTCTTACATGATTCAAGATAAAGTGGGTTTTAGAAGCAAATGGGTGCCAATTAGGGGGGTTGGGAGGGGATTAGGGGAGGTACCAGGATTGGGGGGGGTCACGCGTTTTTCTACAGTGTTTATTGAAATAGGCAGTAATCAGCACAGTGTACATCATATGAGCAGTCATGCAAAATTAGCACATCCAGGAGAGGTTGTGCTGTGTCTCATAGTTTCTCTCTGGGGTTATCAGAGTTAAATATTATTCTTCCTAGATAAGAAAGGGTTTACATTGTCTCCTTTTCCTCATGGGGGTTAGCAGGAGAACCCAGATGTCCTTCTAGGACCCACCTTGTCTCCCTGTGACACATGGAGTTGGAATGACAGCCAGGGCTAGGGCCCACGTCACCCCAACTTGGAGTTCAGTGCCCTTTTGATCGCTCTCTGCTGCTGTGGGGTGTGGTGACATGCGAGGGGGAGAGGGATGTCCCTGCTGTCTGAAGCTCTTTTCTCCTCATCCTTTGCTCCACAGCCCTAACAGCCAGTTCCATCGTCCCCTAGCTTGCCACTCTTCTAGTTCTCCATCTCTCCATTCTCATCCTCACCATATGGCTTCTTCCCCTAGAGGAATTCATGTTCTTGTTCTCACCTCCTCCATGAGACTAGTTAGCTTTTCATCTTTCTACATCTACCCACCTCTCATCATCTTTTCTTGTTTTTAAACAAAACTTTATTGAACAATTTAATACCACATTTCTCAAAACTTTAAACTTACTGAGTAAATAAGCATTTTTCCTAAACAACGAAAGAAATTCTCCTTTTGTGCCAGACTATCTATGTGTAATGGCTTTGACAGTTGGCACAGACTATTAAAAATCCCTTATAACATTAAAAATAGGACATTGGAAGTTATTATTAATTCGAACTATTAATATTGCTACCACTTATTGAATGCTTAATATGTGGCAAATACTTGCTAAACATTTTACATGCATTTAATCATCAATGCATAGGATGTGAGGGGTAGATTTCCCACTTTTTAGTTGAGAAGCCTGTGGCTCTCCTTGCTTCTTCACATTGGAAATGGGGCACCTGACTCTTGCACTTGATTCTAATGACACTGCTTCTTCAAGAGCTCTGCTTTGGGCCCACTCATACTATACTTGGAGCCTCCCTGTGTTGGAGGAGAGCTCCTTCCACTGCGAGTCCAGCTTCTTCAGAAGCTGGAAGATGGAGTGCAGTGAAGTCAGCCAGAGGCGGGGGCAGCCAAGCTCCATTCTCATCCAAAGATGCTCTACCTTTGGGATCAAAGAGGGGAGGCCAGGAAGAGCCAGGGAGAGTGAACCCTCTGGAGTGGGGATCAGCAGTGGATCAAGGGGAGAAGGGTCCAGGAGCTCTGATTCCAAGTCACAAAGCCCTAGGACCCCACTCCTCTCGGGTCTCCCTGCACTTCCAGCAACCTTAGCAGCTGAAGGATGTCGGCCTGGGCTGGGTATAGAGAAGGTCATTGTGCCCAGAGGATGTTCCGGTGAACATTATACTCTTGTTGTGAGATTCATCTGGGAGATGTCCTGCACAATAAGGGTGACATAAAATACCCAAAAAGCCCAGGGCGTGGGGGTCTGACTCAAATGGACAGATGGAAAAATGGCAATGTGTCTATCATAGCAAAATGGGCCCTAGACCTGAAGTTGGGGGTCCGGGTCTCAGCTGGCTCTATGGGGAACATGCCGAGGGTGTCTTTGGGCCTCAGGTTCTCATCTATAAACAAGGGAGCTGAGCAGATTGTCTGTAAATCAATTAGGATTGATGTATCAGAGTATTTGGGAAAGGGGCACTGGGAATGTACTAGCAACACCTGATGGAGGTATCTGTAATTTCCAAAGCGTTTTCACAGATATGATCTCATTGATCCTCACGACATCACTTTCCCAGTCCCTGGGCTAGGCATTGTTCCTCTCGTTTAATAAAGAGGAACCGAGGCTAAGCGGAGGTTGTCCGTGCCGAGGTTCAACGATTGTTTGGAGGCTGAGCCGGGATCCGCAGCTGAGCCCCAGGGGGAGACTGGAGGAGAACCAGACTGGGAGCAGGTGTCAGGGCCCCTGTCAGGGCAGAAAACTAGGGTTAGGATTTACTCTGAGGATTGGGTTGGAGGGGTAAATTCCCAAGAAAGTGCGAGATTAGGGTGTCAGTGGTGAACTCTGGGGAAAGGCAGAGTTACTAAGGCACAGTGAGTACTCATCCCGCATCAGCACTTATCTTCCCGTCTTGTCTCAGTAAATCCTCCCGGCAACCCCGGGACACAGGATCTCTCCATTTTGAAAAGTGGAAAACAGGCTCAGGGTTTAGGTTGTCTGTCCAAGACCACTCAGCTAAAAAGTGGAAGAATCTGAACGGGAACCCAGGGAATTCGACTCCCTGGATCTTCCTGTGCTGAGCATTTGGGAAAGGCCGGGTGAGAGGGGGAGGGAGGGCGTTCATGGCATCTTGGTGTTTGGCTGGGAGTGGTCTGGTTGGTGGGTCGGCACACGGCACACGGCAGCTGGATCCGGGACTCCAGCGCCTCTGACTGAGCCACAAAGGGTTAAAGAACCTTCGGCCCCTCCTCCCGCCTCCTCCCGCCTCCTCCCACAGCTCTTCCTGTCCCGCTGTTGCAACACCCCTTCTGCACTCTCCCCTCCCCTCCCACCTCCTTTCTCCTCCTCTTTGCTTTAATGTTTCGGAGTTCTTCGGAACTGCGTCGGACTCAGGCTCCACTTCTGGCCTTCGGGGTTTGCGGTCCCTGGGACCAGGCCGTGATCTCCACCCCCGTCTCAACCTTCAACCCCCTACCCAAGGTCCACGCTCCTCTTGGGACCTCCCGACCCGCGCATCCTGGGACTCTGTTGCCGCCGCTGCCGGCCGCTGCCACCACTGCTTGAGCCCCGATGGGGGAGTGAGAGGCCACAGCTGGCCGGACATGGGCCTCCCCACCGTGCCTGGCCTGCTGCTGCCACTGGTGAGACCAGGGACGAAGGGTGGAGTGGGCTGGTGGGCGAAGGGCACCACGGGGCAGGAGTGGGCCTCCGCCAGGAGAGGGCTGAGGCCTGGCCTGGCCTGGCCCCGGCCTCAGGCCTGCGTGGTCTAATCTCAAACTCTGCCAGAAGTTCAGGTCTGTCCATTCATCTGCCTGCCCTGGGTCAGGGGCACGGGAGAAGTTTGAAAGGCAGGGAGGAAAAGCGAGCCCGGGCCTCTGACAGCCAAGGAAGTTGGCTGGGGCTGGGGGTGTCTGGGAGTGTAGGGACAGGTGAGCGGTCGAGGGTGGGGCAGTTTGTAGGAAAAGGAAAGGAGTGGAAGAAGGAACGTCGGTCCTCTCAGAGTCCAGATGATTCAGGATTCTGTCCATTTGGTCAGCTGGCTGGCCCGGGAGTGTGTTGAGCTGTGGAGAGGGGAGGCTGCCCGTGGCTCTGGCTGAGCAGACTCTGTTGGGGGAAGGAGTTGGATGCTGGTGAAGTGGGGGAAACTGAGTCTGGAAGAGGTGTTGGGTTGGTGGGGTAGGTTTGAGATGCTGTGTGGTGGGGGGTATTTGGGAGTGGATGGGAAACTGGATGGGGGCAGGGCAACCCAGTGGAGAGCGTCCCCAGTGCCCTCCCCAGGCCCAGGCCTCCTACCTGGGGGCATTCTTCACCCTCTGCCTCTGGCTCAGCTTCTAGGCAGGTGGCCTCTGGTGGCCTGACCCTCTCTAGGTAGCTAGCACCATCTCCACCTTGTCAGTGTCCCTGTGCCTGCCCTCCAGCCCCCTCCCCACAGTCCTAAACGACAATCCCTCTGTTTCTTCTATAGCTCAGTTTGGGGAAGTTGGTAGAAAGTTGTTTTCGTCACTGGAAAATGTCCCTGTCTCTTGCCTCAGCATTGTTTCCATGTTCCTTGATCTCCCCCAGTGTCCTGGAGTCACACTGTGCAGATACCTGGAGCCCCCTTTCCCCGCCTAGTTGGGTGGACTTTCCCCGGCCTGTGTTGGCCAGTTTCCTCTGGGTCCCTTCCCCTCCCTGGCCCACCTGCCGCTTCCCCAGCTCTCCTCTCCTCTCCTCTCCTCAGGGTCTTACACTTTCTCTCCTAATCATTTCTTCCTTTTCTGTCAGGCCCCTCAATAGTCTCCTTAGACTTCTCAGTCTCCTTTTAGAAACCCTTTCTCTCTAGTTCCCCCCTCCGCCTCTCTTCTCTGCTCCAGTCCACGTTTCTAGCCCCTAATTCCCCACGCAGCACCTCTCTCTCTCACGGTCTCACTATGCTTCTCCCTCTCCCACCTCCTGTCTCCCCAGTCCCATCTTCTCTTCCCTTCTCTCAAGGCTGTCCTTCTCCCAGCCCCCCCAATCCGGCTGCCCTGTCATCTTACTTTCGTTCTCTCTGGGGGGGGTAGATCACTTGGATTCAAACCCTGGCTCCCTCACATACTAGCTGCCTGAACTTGAGCCGGTTATGTAACCTCTCCAGGCCTTGGTTTCTTTATCTCTAAAATGGACATAATAGTCATAAGCTCATAATGTTGTTTTCAAGATTAGATAGACTGATATATATTAAGTATTCAGTTATATTAAGTGCCTGCTCTGTGCCGGCGTTACAGCAGTGAACCAGATCTCTGCCCTCATGGAGTTTACATTCTAGTAGAGGAACAGGGGTATAGCTAACAGAAAGCACCCAATAAACATGAGCTTTTGTATTGTTAGTATTAGCAGTGTTCGCAGTAATTAGTCGGTGGCTACTGTGTTTGGAGAACAGAGGGTACAGGTAGGCTGAAGATAAAGGAAAGAGCCTAGGGCCTGGGCTGATCCAACCCAGGTGGGGTTATGGCTGCCAAGGGACAGAAGCTCAGTCTGGAGCTGGAGGGGAAACAGGAGGCAGGCAGTGTCTGGGTAAGTCTGCACATGAGCTTTCAATTTCTCACTACCCAGTGGTTACTAGAGAGCACACAGTATGTATGTGTGTGTATGTTGGGGGGGAGGTGGGGAAGTATACAGCAGAGACTGTGACAAAGCAAATGGGATTTTGCTGCTCTTAAAGAACTCACAGTCTAGGAGCCAAGACAGCTTACAGCAAAACATGATTTCAGAACAACCTGGAGGAAAATATCCACAAAAGCATTGTGATGTGGTGCCCATCGATGGAACATTGATGGGAGGCAGAACTGGAAAGAGGAATAAGCACAGTCCAGCTGCCTTTTCTTGCTTGTGGGATCTCGGCTGTAGTGCTCAGTTCCAGGAAATCCATGCACTTCCCCAGGCCAATTCAGGAGTCCTTCGCCACACGGAGGAGTCCCTGCATACATCGCAGAGCCTACAATTGACTGTCTCTGACCCAACTGAGAACTCTTGAGAGCATGGGCAGTGTGTTCATCTCTGCATCCCTGGCAGCCATACAGGACCTTGCGCATAGACTGTGCTCCTTAACTATTTGTTGAATGAATGAAGGAACAAGGGATTTGGTCAGATGGGATGAGGGAGGAAGAGCCTCATGGAAAAGTGGATTTGGAGCTGATATTTGAAGTCCTTGACTCGCAGGTGGTTAGAAAGAAGGGAGACAGGTTTGAGGGAGAGTAGAGAATGGAGAGATGGGATTTTGTGTTGGGGTTGGTGGTGATGGCAGGAAGCTGAATACCTTGGCTGGAGTGGAAGGACCATGTTGAGGAACAAGAATAAATGAGAATGAGAAAATTGCGGGGCCGGGCCCGTGGCATAGTGGTTAAGTTCGCGCGTTCTGCTTCGGCGTCCTGCGGTTCGCTGGTTCAGATCCTGGGCGAGGACCTATGCACCACTTATCAAGCCATGCTGAGGCGGCATCCCATATAGAAGATCTGCAACTCTACAACTATGGTACACAACTATGTACTGGGGTGTTGGGGAGAAAAAAGAAAAAAGAGGAAGATTGGTAACAGATGTTAGCATAGGGCCAATCTTCCTCAAAAAAACAAAAAAACCCCACACACACAAAAAAGAGAGAGAATGAGAAAATTGGAGGGAGTGGGGGAGGGGATGAAGAAAGAATCTTGAAAGTGGTCCCAGGTGGAGGAATTCATTCATTCATTCAGAACGATTCTCTGAGGGCCCGCTGCACCGGGAATGTGTTCAGAATGGCAGTGAGGTTGCTCTGCAAGTACTTGTTCAGGGAAGAGGTGACCCTTGGAAATGGTGTTCGAAGTCAGGCCCTGGAGAGGAAGATTCCCACAAATGTGGGTGCAAGTTGAAGCCTGAACACAGATAACAAAGTGTGTAGGATGGATTGGAGCAGAAAAGAGGCAGGGCAATTGGCTGGAAGACAGTTGCAATAATCCAGGTGTGAGGCAACCTGTGGAAATGAAGAGGTCTGAGAGATCACACAGGAAGGACTGGCAAGATGAACTGATAGACAGATGGCAGCAGGGGTAGGGACGGGGGCCCTGAGGAGAGAAGGGTGGCAAAGTTCTCGACATTGGTGCTGAGCATTTGGTGGCATGACATTTGTCTAGGCCAGGAGATTGATAAATTTAGTTTGGGGCCTGTTAAGGGTCCGGGGAATAGCCAAGAGGAATGTGCATCTAACAGGCTAGAGCAGATGTTCTCAAACTCTTATCTGCCTCCGTATCATTCATATGTGCCGCATTCACTCATCAGTGATTCTCAAAAGGAGAGGAACACTTGTCAGAATCTCCAGTGAGGGTGTGTGATGTGGGTGGGAAGGAGGGAGGATAGTTTGAGAACTCTCCCCTGGAGACAAATGTATTCCTACAGGGGAGCACTGACTCCCTACTTCCCTCATTGGCTTCCATGGGAAAGGGAGACAGGTCAGTCATTAGATCGACCAACCAATCCATGTTTATTTTGCTTCTCTAGTTCCGGTTGCTGAGAAGATACCCAGAAGGATAAGACACTATCTCTGACCAACACATTCTTTCTGATCTCTCATCTTCGAGTTTATGGTCTCTTTGGGGAGATCATATCTACTCACCCAAGATAATTATATTATGATAACAACACAAAGTAGATATAGTTAACTTATGTTATTAAAGTTCACAGGGGGCTGAGAGTCTAATGAGCTTGGGTAGGGGAAGTGTCATTAATGGAGGGCTTCAGGGGAGGGAGGAGGGATCTCAGCTGGGTTGTTGGAGGACAAGCTGTCATGAGCGCCCCAAACACTATGACATTAAGGGAACAAACACATTTTAATTTAGTGAACAGATTAATGTGGCGAAGGGAACAGCTAAGCGGTCCCGTGAGATGGCTGGGTCGGAGTTCGACCACAGGGTCCTCTCAGCATCTCCGCCCCACTCTGCAGCCCCAGCACAGGAAGTCACACTTGAAAGCCTCCCCAGGCGGAAGTTGTGGAGGAGTTGGAGGGGTGCTGGGCCACCCCCTCAACTGTCTCTCCACAGGCACCCCCCAGTTTCCTGCCCTTCCCCTGCTCCAGGAGACAGGCACTGAGCTGGGGGCTGGGGGCTGGGCGCTCAGAGCTCACCTGTTTTTGCTGCAAGATGCAGGTTGGCTGCTAAGGACCAAGCTCATGGGAGCCAGCTGGTGCCAAGAAATGGTGGCTACTGCGGGGGAGCCCGAGGGTCTTGGCTCCTAGGGGTCAGAGTGGGCTGGCTGGGGCACTGCTGGGGGTCCTGAGAGACCTGGGAAATAGTGCTGGTTGTCTTACATCCCTTCTTGCTTGCTCCCTCATTCCTGGAAGTGAGTGTTCAGGGCTCTGGAGTTTTTCCTGTGCTGCCAGTGGGCTTGGGGGAGGGCCTGTGGAGACTCCGAACTGGCCTTATTTCCTAAGGATTGTCTGGGGACCCCAGGGAGGTCCTCAAACCCAACGCGACTGGCCAGAACCAGCCAGGCTGTGGGAATGCAGTGAACCCCGGGTGGGAGGGCAGCCTTGGTTTGCTTCCTTCTGGAACTGGGGAGTGTCAGGGCGCTCCTTCGAGAACCCAGGGAATGGGTTTATCTGCAGGGGACTGGTTAAACTGGAAGGAGGAGCCAGGGCGGGGCCTAGTCTAAAGGAAGGATGCTGAGGAGTGAGAAGGAGCTGAGTGGCCCTCAGGGAGGGGTGGGTAGTGACCTGATGGGAGGAAGCCAGGGGTCGGCAGAGACTTCCCTTTGGGATGGAATGGGAGAGGGAGCCATTTCCCGAAATACACAGGCCAAGTGGGACAGGGGTTCATTGCCTGGCTCTTATGAGAAGAAGGGGGAGGAAAGGGGTTCTGACTGGAGGGAGAGAGGGGTCCATAGGAGGAAGGGATCAGATGGGGTCCCAATTGCTGGCCAGTCCCTTCAGTCGTTCTGCTGACTCATGACCCTTGAGGAGCTGGGGAAGCGGGCCGGTTCCCTCTCCCCTCCCCTGGATTCCCTCCCTCCCTCTGGCCTGAGTCACTGGGCGGAGCTGCTGGGAAAAGATTTCCCTTTCCCGGATCCGACTTAACCCCCAAAGTGCTGGAGAGGGAGGAGGACTCATGCCCTGGGAAGGCCCCTCTCCTCCCTCCTGGGAAGCTTTGTCCTCACCGGCCAGCCTCCCTGAAAAGCTCCCCCCGAGTCTGTCCCGGAACTGGAGCCCCCCAGTTCTTCTTCCTGACTGTCTCTGTGTGTTGGCTTTGCTCCAAGCCCCCTGGACAGATTCCGAGTGCCAGTGAGCTTAGGTGCTGTGAGCTCTTCTTCGGGGAAAGGAACCACACTTTCAGGTTTGGGAAGTTCTTCCCATAACCAGCCCAAACTCTTCCTGCTGCCCTGGATGCTCCAGTCCTGTTCTCAGGGGAGATGGCACAGTGCTGCAGCAGGCCAGGGAAGCCTGAGGCCCTCTGAGTCATGGAGCGTGCCCCTCCCGGGTTGTTGCTGTGTTTCTGAGTGTGGCTTCCCCTGTTCGTGGCTGAGGCTTCTGGGCTGCTGCAGCGTCTCCCAGCGGCTGACTCAGGGTGTCACCTGCCTGCCTGCCTGCTCTGAAGACATGTGGAGCTGTTGCGGCTGCAGGGGGCTGTTGCAGGGGGGCTGTGGGCTACAGGGCCCTCCTGTCCTGGGCTGGGGATTCTGTGATCTCACTAGTCTGTTGTTGCTCCCCACTATTTAACATACTTTGCGGACATCCTCTTATCTTTACATAAAGCAGCTCTTTATAGCAGAGGAAAAAAAATCAAGGCCCAGGGAAAGCCAGAAAGAGGCTGGTAGGAGGTCAAAGGGCAAAGTCTGGGTTGGAGCTCAGCACTGACTCCTTGCTTTGTTGTCCCTGCCTCTGAAGCCAGGCCTGGGCAAGTGACTCAGGTGCTGTGGGCTTGGCCGGAGGCTGTAGAACATGCCTTCCAGAATGCCCCGACCAGATCCCCCCAATGTGCAAAGGGCCTCTGGGCTCCCTGGCACACCCTCAGCTCCTGACTTGATGGTCTTGGAGCCAGATCATCAGCCTCTGCCCAGCTCTAGTTGCCTGTAACCTACCTGCCTCTGCCCACCCTGCCCCCACCTAAACTTTGTCACCCACCCACCCCATCCCTGATCCTGAACTTTCCCTTTTACTCCCCTCACCATCCACCCTGGCCAACCTGGGGTATCTATGCAGATTCAGTGGTGGAAGGGGACACAGCAGTGTGGAGTGTGAGGGTGGGATCCGGAGTGAGGTTCTGATACAAATGTACAAAGAAACTTCCTTTGCTTCTCCCACTCCCCAGGAACAGTGCCCACAGGAACATCACTCACCTCCACCCCAATCTGACTTTATAGAAAACCTTTTTACTGGTATAACATATAGTACATGAAAGGGCACAGATCCTAATCACTCACCTCCGTGAATGTTCCCTAAGTGAACGCACTGTGAACACAGCCCCCAGGGGAGAAACACCACCCCGTCTTGAGGGCTGCTTGTTGGGAAGAAGGGTCGTAATTGAGGTAACCTGCCAGTTCTCAACCAAAAACACATTTCTGGAACATCTGCCCTGCGTCCAGCACTATTAGCTGCTACGCGGAAATAGGATAAGATACAGCCGGGGCCTGGGGTCTACTAGCCTTGACTTGGAGGGACAAAAATGAGCACACAGGACAATTAGAGAACAATTAAGCACCAGCTCTCCCGGTGCCAAGCGTCTGAGCCTGGAGGAAGGACCAAGTGTGAGCAGGCTGGGGAGAACGTTCCCCTGAGAAAGGACTGAGCTGGGAAGGCGTTAGATTTGCTGCCTCTGAGGCTCCCACCCCTCCCTCTCCTGATGGGGTCTCCTCTATCTGATCCTTCCCCAGGCGCTCCTGGCTCTGTCGGTGGAAATACACCCCTCAGGGGTTACTGGACTGGTCCCTCCCCTCAGGGACCGGGAGAAGAGAGACAGTCTGTGTCCCCAGGGAAAATACAGCCACCCTCGAAATAGTTCCATTTGCTGTACCAAGTGCCACAAAGGTAGGAGAAAGTGGTAACGGTGAGTCTTCTCAGTTATGGGGCCCTGCTTCTTCCTTTGCTTTTTCTAGATGTTCTAGAACCTCGGGTCCCTGACCCCAAGTCTCCTGACTTTGCTGCCTCTCCTGGGCTGGGATTTTCTCCCTCCTTTCCTCTCCCAGAGACTTCCGGGAGGCGGTCGTGGCTGTTGCATGGGACTCCTTTCTCGAACTCTCAGCTGCAGCCTAACCCTGACCCCTGATCACAGGGACCTACCTGCACAATGACTGTCCCGGCCCGGGGCTGGACACGGACTGCAGGGAGTGCGAAAACGGCACCTTCACTGCCTCAGAGAACCACCTCAGACAGTGCCTCAGCTGCTCCAAGTGCCGGAAGGGTGAGTCTCTGGCGGGGGCTCTAGACAGACCGAGTCCAGTGGGTGTTAAGAGAGGTGTGTGCCTGTCTACACGGGGGTGGGAGGGGGTATGCAGATCTGTGCTGGTGGTGTGGGCAGGAATGCGTGTGCATATGTGAGTCCATGGGTGTGAGCATGTGATACAGAGGCACACACACTGTGGTGATGGTGGGGCTCACACCCCATCTGCTCTCCTCACCAGAAATGTACCAGGTGGAGATTTCCTCTTGCACGGTGGACCGGGACACCGTGTGCGGCTGCAGGAAGAACCAGTACCGGAATTACTGGAGCGAAACTCTTTTCCAGTGCCTGAACTGCAGCCTCTGCCTCAACGGCACAGTGCATCTCTCCTGTGAGCACGGCTCTCCTGACCCCTGCCCTCCCCCCCGCAGGGATGGGCCCTGGCCCAGGAGGAAGGTCACCACCTTTCTGCACCCCTGCCCCATGAGGCAGCACCTCCTTTTCTTCCCACCCCTGCCGTCTGTGGACCACCTCCACGCTGGCGACTCCCCCACCCCCACTGGTCCTCAGGGGGCGGGGCAGTCCTCCTTTAGCTGTGCTGCCTTCTCCCCACAGGCCAGGAGAGACAGAACACCGTCTGCACTTGTCACACCGGGTTCTTTCTGAGAGGGAATGAGTGCGTGTCCTGTGTTAAGTGAGTATCTCTGCCAGCTGCCGGTCACCAGATCGGGGGGCGTGGGGTGGGATGGGCAGCTGTGGGTGAGAGCCACCAGCAGGGCAAGCGAGATACCCCAGGTGCTCTGGCTCCTACGGGCTGTTTGAACGGGAGACACTTCATGTCAAGACACCAGACAGTCCTTCTCCCTCCCCCCAACTTGTTCGTCAAATCTTAAGAAGTCTTTGAGGACAGAGGCTCAAACCCCAAGGACCTGCAGTTCTAACTTAGACATTTAGATTCTTGGGGGACAGGGTCCCCTTGATTCTAGGATACACACTTTTACATCTCTGAAATCAGAGTGCATCTTACAACAACTGACAATGTATCATGGTTTACCTGGCAGCCGTGCATGTATAGCTTGTAAATAATGGTGCCTCTTATTGTTGATGGCATCTTAGGTTGGATGCACTATGATTTTCCCTCCCTGCTCCCTTTGACCAGGCCTCCTTACTCCTCTGGCTCCACAGAGGTTGTTCTTGCATACTTACTTGCAAAGAAGAAACTCTGAGGGATCTAAAGTTGAACTGACCTGGGTTTAAATCTCAGCCTACCCACTTACTGGCTGTGTGACCTTGGGCAAGTTATTTAACATCTCTGAACCTTAGGTTTCTTATCTTAAAGCAAAGATAATCACATCCACTTGGTGAAGTTGTAAGAACCACAAAAAATAGCTACGAAGTATCTGATAGGAAACTATTTTCTTTTTCCCACTAAGTTTCGCCTCTTCTTGAGAGAGCTTTTACCCTCATTCCCTGCAGTTCTCACCATGAGCTGGTGAGATGGGCAAAGATGCCTTTTGCTGCTTCCAGGGTCCTGCCGAGAACTCACCTTCTCAAGTTCCGCCTAGGCCCCGATTTAGTTCTGTTCACTCTGTGCTGCTCAGCAACAGCTCCCAACATGGGCAGGTGTGCTTTTTCTAGAGTACTCTCTGGCTGCCCCCAGCAGTATGTATTTGTAAACTTTTCACACGAATGTTTGACCCATCTCTCAAAGTCAGGGATTGTCACTAGCAGTGTCACGTCAAGAAAGAGCTCTCTATCAAACCTCTCTTTGCCACAGGATTCTCCTCAGTGAAACAACGATAAAATACCAATTGAGTGACAACTACCATTTATCAAGTTCTTACTATGCCAGGCATAATTATCTCACTTCGTCCTCCATCCTGACAGGTGGGCAGGATCCCTATTTTACTGAGGAGGAAACTGAGGCGTCCAGGTTAAATGACTTGTATGAGCCACACTATCAGCCAGTGAGTGGGCTGGAATATATACCTGACTGCTTTGACTCTTTTTCTGTACAGTCTCTTCAAGATCAATTCCAGTTCTAAAATGAAACGGTTCTGTCTTTTACTTATGTTTCATTCCTCTACATCAATTCCCAAGATAGGTATAATTTCCATTATATCCAGAGATAGCTAAAATAGTGGTGAAGCAAAGAATTTCCAACAATACAGGTTTTTTTTTTCTTTCTTTCCCCTGTGTTCTTCCCATGGGAGGGCCCCTATTCACCTGTGCTCTCTCTTCTTTTAGCTGTAAGAAAGACACGGAGTGCATGAAGTTGTGCCCATCCCCAACCCAAAGTGTGAAGGGCCGACAGGACCCAGGTGAAGAGAAATAACCCGGTGCCCGTGCTCACCTGCCCTCTCCCAATCCCGGCCCCTCTGCCCACCCATCAGGCCCTGCCACCTCCCGCAGCCCCTCTCCTCTCACCACGATCTGCTTTGTCTCCAGGCACCACAGTGCTGTTGCCCCTAGTGATCTTCCTTGGGCTTTGCCTCTTATCCCTCCTTTTCATCGGTTTAATGTGCCGCTACCGACGGTGGAAGCCCAAGCTCCACTCCATTGGTGAGTGGGGCCTTTGGGAGGCAAAGGGGTGCGGGTGGGGATGTGGGAGGAGGTTGGGCAGGAAAGATGGACAAGCATGGAGGGAAATGAGGAGCGTCCCCTTGGTTCGCTGCCCAGGACTCCGTTGGCAGGAGGTGGCCCTGATGGCTTCTGAGAGGGCATACTGCATCAGTAGTTCTCTTGTCCCTGGGGCCACTTAGGCCCTGAAGCATGTCACCACAAGTCCCCACAGCCAGCCGCACTAAGGGCACCAGGGCTGAGAGAGGAAGTGAAATTTGTGACGCTTTGTTCCTTTTTTCTCAGTTTGTGGGAAATCGACACCTGTAAAAGAGGTAAGATGAAACCAGGGAACTACCCCCAATCTTCCCTGACTGTCCATTATAATCTTGTAATACCCACATCACCTGGAATCACCCTTCACCCTTGGGCTCCCCTAACTCCCTCTAGCCCAAACCCCCATCCAGAATAAAGAGGGCCTGGCTGTTTTTCCTCTTCCCTACTAATGCTGTGCCTTCTCCCTTTCAGGGGGAGCCCGAGCCCCTGGCCTCAACCTCAAGCTTCAGTCCCACCACGGGCTTCAGTCCCACCACGGGCTTCGGTCCCACCACGGGCTACAGTCCCATGGCCGGCTACAGTCCCATCTCCAGCTCCACCTTCACCCCCAGTCCCACCTTCACCCCCAGTCCCAATTTCACTCCTGGTGACTGGCGCAACTTCAGCGCTGCATCACCCCCCAGAGAGATGGCTCCACCCTACCAGGGGGCTGGCCCCATCCTCACAGCAGCTCCAGTCTCCACCCCCATCCCCACCCCTCTTCAGAAGTGGGAGGACAGCGCTCACCCGCAGCGCCCAGACAGTGAGTTCCTCGCAGGGAATCCCGGCTTGGGGTGCGGGTGGGCGGAGCTCCTAGAGGGCTGGGGGCGCAGGTGGGCGGAGCTCCTAGAGCGCGCGTGCGCGGGGAGCGTGGCGGGCCGCGGGAAGAGGAGAGAAGCGGAGCAGGGTGGGGCGGCCCTCGGGCAGCGCTGGAGGCTCACCACCGCGCTTCCCCGCAGCCGACCCGGCCACGCTGTACGCCGTGGTGGACGGTGTGCCCCCGTCGCGCTGGAAGGAGTTCGTGCGGCGGCTGGGGCTGAGCGAGCATGAGATCGAGCGGCTGGAGCTGCAGAACGGGCGCTGCCTGCGCGAGGCGCACTACAGCATGCTGGCGGCCTGGCGGCGGCGCACGCCGCGGCGCCAAGCCACGCTGGAGCTGCTGGGCAGCGTGCTCCGCGACATGGACCTGCTCGGCTGCCTGGAGGACATCGAGGAGGCGCTGTGTGGCCCCGCCTCCCTCTCGCCCGCGCCCCGCCTTCCCCGATGAGGCCACGCCCCCGCCCCCTTGGCAGGGGGCTGCCCAGAGGACAGCTGCTTTCTGCCCCCGGGCAGTCCGGAAGGACGGTGCAAGATGCCCTCTGGACCCCCTTATTTCTGGAGAAGAAGGATCTTGGAGGGGCAGGCGTGAGCTGGCAGCCACTTCCTTGGTGCTACTCCCTCAGTGTACATAGCTTTTCTCAGCTGCCTGAGGGTCAGCCGTGTTTGTGTGTGTGTGTGTGTGGGGGGGGGGGGTGGTGCGTGTGTGGTGGTGAGAGAGGCGTGGGGTGTGTGTTCTCGTGAGAGAGGCTGAGTGTGCCAGGGTTGTGGGGATAAAAGGCGCCATGCCTCACTGCCCATTTTGGGTTTGGAAAACCCAGCAAGGATGCTTAGGGGCCCCTGGTTGGTCCCTGAGCGTTTTTCACAGCAGATAAGCAATCTTTGTATCAATTATATTACACTATAGAAACTTGGCACCCCTTTGCCCCCTGCCTGGACAAGCACAGAGTAAGCGGAACTGTCCAAAGGCAGGGGCAAGCACAGAACAATGGGGCCTCCGGCTGGAGCTGTGGACTTTTGTAAATACACTAAACCCTGGAATTAAAGCTCTGCTCTTGGAGGCAGTGGTCTTCCTGAGTGGTGGGAGTGGGAGGCTGGGGTAGAGGCCTGAGTCCTGGTGGGTGGGATGGGAAAAGCCCTGAGCTTGGGCCAGATACCCCACCACCAGGATGCCAGCTGACAGAGGAGTAACCTGTGCTGGCTCTGTGACCCCCCGCACTGCCCCCCCCCAGATTCTCTTTCTTCCCACCCTCATCTAGTGATGGCTGGCAGTCATTTTTATGCACAACTTTGTGTCGGCTCCGGTGTTTTTATGGTACATAAATGTACAGCTCTTGATCCCCAAAGTCCTCAGAGCAGGAAAGCAGGGTGCCTGGGCCAGGCTTCTTAGTGGGAAGTGTAGTCCTTGAGGTAGAGTCCAGGGGTGGGGGTGGTGACCAGCACTTTTGGGGAGAGATTTCCTCCAGGAGAAATGCCAAAGGTCCTGAATGTTCCTCACACCTCTCTGAAAAGAAAGGAGGTGGGTATTAGGTAAAGTCAGAACTGGGGTGAAGGTGAGGCTAAGGGCCCTTCCCTGCCAAGGCCCTGCTCTGGTACTGCTCTCCTTCTCTACTGACCCCCTCCCCACCGACCTCCTACTCTGGGACCCCTCCCGCTCCACACCAGCCTTCCCCTCTGCTCCCTCCCATGCCACCTTCCCTCTAGCACTTACGATGTGGACAGTGGCGTGTCCAGCTGTATGATGTGGGATCCACGCATCCTCTGCAGTTGGGCCCGAGTCAGCTTCCGAGGCCTGCTGTCCCCAGGCTCGGGGACACCCTCAATCCTTTGGCTGGCCAGTTCCTCCCGGATCTCTCTGAGCATGTCCTCAGCACGGAGAGGGTGGTGGGAGTGGGTGCAGCCAGGTCCTAGGAAGAGGGGCCCCTCTTCTTCCTCATCCGCTGAGGACTCCCAGGGGCTTCCCCCGGCAGAGTCAGTGTGGGTTGGGGAGGGCGGGAGCTGCCCCCGAAGTCGGGCCCTATGCAAGGTTTCCACTACCACATTCCCTCCTACCAAGGTCCCATCTTCTGCCTCAGAACAGGTGGGTGCGTCTCCCCTGGGAAGACTGCCTCCTCTTTGGGTATCTTCCTCCGGCAGATCAGGGGCACTTCGGCGTTGGGGAGCTTGGGGGTGAGGAGGCTGGGGGCGCAGAGGAACATCTCGGAGGTCCAGGGTGGAGAAGGTGAGGCGAGGGTCCCGCCGGAAGGCCCGCGAGCGTAGTCGGCTCAGTGGGGAGTGGGACTCCTCGGGGGAGCCTGAGATCAGAGTGCCATAGCCAGAGTCAGAGGTATCATCTGGTCCCGAGGGAGCGTCTTCATCCATGTCTTCTGTCACCACTAGGTGGGGGATGATGCTCAAGAACTCAGGAGTCCTACAATGAATAGTGAATGGTAGGAGTCAGGTGCTGAAGGGTCAAGTTCAAGTCCGGGAAGTCTCCCTTGATCACTCCGTCCAGAAATGGCCCCTCCTCCAAACTTATTTCAGTCTCACCCTTTATACTGCACTGAGGTTGTTTTTCTCATCTCGCTGGCTAGACTGGAGGTTCCTCTAAGGCATTTAAGCCGTAGGCCTTGGTCCCTGCAGGGCCTTGTATCAAGTAGGCACTCAGGTGTTTGCTGAGGGGTTCCTGAGGTTATCTGCCAGAGGATCTGTTTTCTCCTTAACCATGCTGCTGAACAGCTGTGTTATTCTGGACCCTCTCATGCTCTCTGCGGTTTTGGACTAGCCGAATCCTGCAGCTCCGACATTGTGCAAATCTGTACTGGCCTTCAGTCTCCATTCCTGGCCTGGGGATCCTGCTGCTCTCAGGGAGTTCATGTCTCTTGTGCCTGTTTCCTTCATGCTGTGCCAACCTTAGGCTGGCTGACCCCTTAGGCTGTCCCATGCGGCCCTTCGCTCGGCTGGTGGCAACCTGTTCTACTCCATCCTGTAGCCTGGGTTCCTCAGTCTATTCCCAATCCCCCCAAAAGCTGTATTGCCATTTCTCAGCCTTGTGGGTTCCTCTTTTCTCCCTCCCTGCCTGCAGCCCCCCTACTTTGGGAGCCCCTGTGGTCCCTGTGGGTCTTACCTCCCCTCTGCACTGCTCTGAGAGCCCTCTGGGGAAGGCGTGGAGGGCCTGGTGCCTGGGGACTCCTGGTCCCTGTCCCGATAGAGGGCCAGGAGCTCCCTCTTCTGTTGGACGTATTCCTCTGCCTTCAGCTTTTGCAGGGTGACCTGGGGTGGGGATACTTTCATTAAGAGCTCTCACTTATTGAGCACTTGCTGTATGCTGGGCACCATGCTAAGTGCTTTACATACATTATCTTATTTAATCTTCACAACAACCCTGTGAGGCAGACATTATTTTTTACTCCTACTTTACTACTGGGAAATGGAAACTGAGGTTATGTAACTGCCAAGGTCATGCAGTAGGAAAATGGGATGGAGCCAGGATTTGAACTCTGAGCTGGTCCTGGGGGTGGGTGGGGTGAATAGAGGGCGTCTTTTCCTACCTGTACAGTTCTTCCTGCTTCTCATGTCCCTTTGGCAAGCTCTGTATCCAGTCTGTCCCCTCTTTCAGGAAGCCCTCCCTGATTGGCAGTGATGGTGGTATAAGTGCTGGGCCCTCAGGTTACTCTTTCTCCTACTACCAGCTTGGGCAGGGGCAGGCTCTGTCCTGGGCTAAGGACTCTGCTGCCCTTCAGAGATGAAAGCAAGACCGTCCCAAGTGGAATGGAGAGAGGATACAATATACAGTTATGTGTTGCTTAATGACGGGGATACATTCTAAGAAATGCGTCGTTAGGCGATTTTGTCATTGTGCGAACATTATAGAGTGAACTTACACAAACCGGTACACAAACCGGTAGACGGTATAGCCTACTACACACCTAGGCTATATGATACTAATCTTATGGGACCACTGTCATATATGCGGCACGTGACTGTATTTTCTGTCTTTCTCCCTCAACATTTTCGTACCGGCGGCATCAGAATAAAATAGTGACATCTGAGAAGTGGTTTATAAAGCCCCTCCACATGCACCGGGTCATTTGATACACACCATCACCCTGCGGGGGGTGGAAAGCATGGCTATTAGCCCATTTTACAGACGAGAAAACAAGAGAGATGAAGGGACTTGCTCAAGGTCGCACAAGCTGAGAGAAGCAGACCTGGGTCTGCCTTTACTGTGAGTCCTAGTTCAGCAACTATGCTGTTTTTCAAGGGCGACCTTGAAGGGTAAGCGTTCCTACAGGACAACATTCACTGGGGGAGGGGGAGGGGGAGGGAAGGCAGCAGAACCGGAGGAGATTCAGGTCCCAGGCAGAGGCTTGGCAGAAGGGAGGTGGTGGTGGGCAGGCAGACATCAGTACTCACTGGAGTGGCCATATTGTTGTTAAAACATTGAAGTACTTCCACGCTGGTAAGCAAAGGTCTGCTGTCAGAGCCTCCACTTCCCTTCCCCAGGACTACCGCGTCCCCCAAGATCCAGCAGCTAGAGGGAGAACATCTGGCACAGCAGGGGACCTAGGACCCCCCCCCCCCACAATGCTCCACTCTGATTGATTTGATGCCCATGCCATATTGCTTATTAAATATTTTGAATATCTCCCCAGCTTGAGGTATATGAACCAGCAACTCGTGAGCACCTGGACCTTCCCAAAGCCAGAATACAGGGGGGTAGCGGGGTCAGGACAAGAGACATGGATGTGGAGAAATGGATGAACAGGGGTAGGAAAATGACATTAAGCTTATATTTCCAACTCTCCTTGCCCTGGCTCTCCAGTCACAGTCTGGTGAGTGACAAAGCAGTGCAAAGATTCTTAGCAGTCTCATCAGACTGGGTCTGTGGGCCAGAGCAAGGGGTGATGGTGCCTGGGGGCAGGAAACCAGCACAGGCCAGATCCTGTGACCTCCTCCCTCATCCCCAGACCTCATCTCCCAGCTGTGCGTGAGGAGTGTAGAGAGGAAGTAGGAGAAAGCAGGGCAGGAGAGGCCAGGGCGGGGCTGGGGCAGCCTGCTGGTCCTGCTGAGATGTAGTGCCCTTTTGCCCACATAATCCAAGTTCAAGTTTGTGTTTTGCATATCCAGGATAGGGATGGTGTGTGGAAGAAAAGAACTGGAAGGAAGTGGGGGTTGTCCATAAGGAATATCTAATACCAGCATCTCTGCCAAACTTGCCCCTGGCCCCACCCAGGGAAGAAGCAGGGAGGTGGGGGAACCTCAGGTACCAGGGGGTGGGGCTGTCTGAAGTGCCCCCCAGCCACCCCAAAGCCTCCCAGAAACCCTGGGAGGATTTTCTCAGCTTGGGTAAGATGAGAGACATGTTGGGGGCAGGGTGGGAGAGGAAGAGGAAATTGGGGCCTGAGCCAGAATGTGACACCCCTACAAAGCCGGGAAAAGGAAGGGAGGGCTTCCCCAGCACGATTCTTCTTCCTCTGCCCTGGTGGAGAACTGAAGTCTTGAGAGGAAATGCCTCCCCTCCCGCTGCCTCTGGAGCGGCTCCCAGATTCACCCACCCTCCTCCCGAAGTCCCCCGAGATGGACTAAAGCCCATCTCTTGAAGGTGGCACAGACTCTCTGAGCAGCAGATGCTGAGGCATTTCCCCAGCCAGAATTGGCCCTGCCAAGGCCCCACCGACCAGCCCTTTCTTCTACTGATGACAATAACAAACATTTATGGAGCGTCCATTAAGTGCTGGGCCTGGTCCCAAGCAGCTGACAAACATAATTCTCCCGTCTATACCGCATGGTGGTTCCCATCATCACTGCAATTCCCCAGATGCGGACCGGGCTTAGATAAGTGAACTAACTCCTGCAAGAACACAGACAACAACTGAGAGCTAGGCTGGGGCATGCCCTCGGAGCCTGGCTCTTTCCCTCTGGTTTCTTGGCCTCTGCCTCTGATAGCTTTCTGTTCCCGTCACTGGTTCCTTTTCCTCTTCCCAGCCCCTAAATATGGGCATTTCCCAAGATTCAGTCTCTCTCCCCTTGAGAAACTCATTTTCTCTAAAAGCTTAAGCCATCTTGGCCAGACCCGCGAGGAATAAATCTACATCTACGTTTCTGTAAGGGGCAGAAAAAACAGTGTGACCCCTGGGGGCTGCTCTCTCAGGGGACCACTGGATTTTCTACTGCGCTCTTCAGTTTACAAAGACTGATGGCAATAGAGAGAAGTATTCCCCAAGAATCTGGTGTGAGACAAAAGCAGGACAAACTAATTTCAAGGTTTCAGGGTTCTTTGCTTTGCAAAGGGAGGCGAGGAGATTGTGCCCTGCGTGGTAATGGATCAGAAATGACTTCCTTACCTCTCCTAGCCAGGAGTAGGACTGTGGGGGGCTACACTAGTTTGCATAATAAAATACCAGCAATTTTTAGTGGTCTCCTGGGGGTTCTAAAGGGAGAATTGTGGGGGGGAGGGGGCGTCATGGGACTGGGAACCAAAGGAAGAGGAGAAAAGTTCTGATGCTGTGGCTGGTAAAGAAAGGAGTCTGCCTGTCAGTAAGGGCCCCCACCTGCTGTCCTGGGGAGGCGGGGGCTTCAGGAACCCTGAGGCTTGTTTCCAGTTTTGTCCTCTGCTTCCCACTTTCCAAGCCTCAGTACAACTCGATTAACCACTAGAGTGGTGCCAGTTGCCAGCCAGTCTGGCCTTGTGGAAACTGCGTTTGGGCTGGAGAGACTGGTGTGGAGAAAAGGTGCCTGCCACATAGAGAGAGGGGACTGTGAGCGGGCCTGAAGCAGGGGTCAGGGCACATGGGAGACCACTCTTGTCACAAAGACCACCCCCACTCCCCACTCCTGTGCCCTACCTCTGGCTTCCTGAGAACTGTCACCATCTTGTTTGGGTATTCAAAGAAGTGGCAGCCCCGCAGGACTGGAGGACACAAGATCTTGAGGTTCCATCTTTCATCCTTATTTCATTTGTTTTATGGAAAAAACCTCATATTTATTTTCTATTCCCCTAATTCAGAATTTTTAATACAGTATTTAAACCAAGACTAAGCTCTGGTTTTCCTTTTCTCAGATAAGCTCTCCACATTTTGATACGATATCATAGATAAGATTGTGGGAAGAAGGCTTAAAATTATTTAAAGAACAAGACTATTTTCACACTTTCTCAGAAGTTTCAGAAGCCCTAATTACCTAAAGTGCTAATGACAAATCATTGTTATCTATTCATTAAAGCGAGCCCTACGAGAACAATTAATTTGATTTAAACTCTTTAAAAATAATGAAGTTGCATTGTTTAGAAATAGTCTACACTAAGATTTCTTTCCTTGTTCAAATGCCTTTTCCTTCCTTTTTTAAAAAATTAAGGTGTAATTGACATACAACATTACATTTGTTTCAGGTGTACAATGTAATGATTTGATATTGCTATATTATGAAATGATCACAAGTCTAGTTAACGTCACTCACCATATATTGCTACCAATTTTTTTTTCCTGTGATGAGAACTTTTAAGATCTACGCTCTTAGATCTGAACTCCAGATCTGTCTTTCCATATTTCCAAAAGCCCCTAAGATGTCTCCACTGGGCTGTCTCCCACCACCTCATTTCCTAAGTGCTTCTGTTTAAAATTAAATATCACCACCCTAGCTCCACTCCTCCCAGGAAGCAACAACCAAACAAATAGCTTTCTCTTCCTAATAATTTCACTTCTGTCAGGGGTGCCTCTGCCAAGGCTGTCTTTCCATCAGGAACCTCGGGACATAAATCATCCTTTGTCCCTGCGGACCTGAGTTACCGAGCATTTACTGAGAGCTGGCACCATGCTGCCTGTTTAATCTGAATGATTCCTTTGACTCTTCCCTATGAGGCAAGGACTTTTATTATGTATATCCATTTTCAGGTGAAGAAATGGAAGCTCAGGGAGGCCACATAACTCACCCCAGGTCACCCAGGTAGTAAGAGGTAGAACTGGTGTCTGAACGGATATTTTCATGCATTCCATCAGTATAGGCTTTTAACCACAGTCTCCCTAAGGTTCTCCTGTCTCTTCCTTCTTCTTTAGCTCCTTTCTTCTCCATTTTTTTTCCTTTTTTTTTTTGCAACATGTCCCTAAAGCCAGGGCACTAAACCTCAGTGTTTCACAGCCACACTAGTACAGTAAATCTCCTGCCACCAATCTCTCCCTCCCCCAGCCCACCTATCACTCTGCCACCTGACAATTCAAGATAGAACACACTGATCTCACCATGGCACGCCCTTGCTCAAGAATCTATGGTGGCTCTCTCTTGTCAACCCAATTCAGTTCAGTCTCATCCAGTCCACACTCTTCTGTAGCTCTTGGGGTCCTGCAGAACCTGGCCTCTCATCACGCGCTCACGCAAACCCTTTGCTCCAGACTCAGACAGACATGGTCACTGTCCCCAAATAAATCCAGTCCAACTGCCCTCTTGAGTCTTCCGCTTATGGTCTTCCCCATCCTTAAAAGTCCAACTCAAATCTCCACTCTCCTTTGGCCATTCTGCTCCTCTAGTGGGTTGAATAATGGCCCCAGAAAGACATGTCTAGGTCCTAACCCCAGAACCTGTGAATGTGACCTTATTTGGATAAAGGGTCTTTGTACATGTGCAAAGATCCTAAGTTAAGGATCTCAAGATGAGCTCATGTTGGATTTAGGGTAGGCTCTAAATCTAATGACTGGTGTCTTCATAAGAGACAGGAGAGGGAGACTTGAACACAGAGACATACAGAGAGGAAGGCCATGTGAAGACAGAGGCAGAGAGTGGAGTGATGCTGTCACAGCTAAAGGACACCTGGAGCCACCAGAAGCTGGAAGAGGCAATGACAGATTCTTCCCTAGAGCCTTGGAGAGAAAGTGTGGCCCTGCTGACACCTTGATTTCCAACATCTGGCCTCCAGAACTGCGAAAGAATAAGTTTCTGTTGCTTTAAGCCCAAGTTTGTGGTAACCAATACAGCTGCATTTGGATCTCTCTTGGTTTGAAGTCCTCTAGCTTTTATCACATACATCTGCCTACGTCACTCCCCTGTTTAACACCTTCACTGGCTCTGTGTCATCTATAGGACAAAGTTGAAGTTCCTTGTATGGCATGCAGAGATGGGCATGATCTAGTGGCGTCTACTTCCCAGCCTCTCTGCTGCTATGCCTGCCCTTCTGCTCTATGCCCTAGAAATACGAGCTACTAGGCTAGTTGTTCTCTCAACACACAACTGTTTCATATTTCTGACCTTTGCACATTCTGCTCCTCCATTTGGAATACTTTCCCACCCACTCTTGTTGATGTACTCTTAGATATCCCACAAACGGTGCGCAGACAATAGCTCCTCTGTGAAGGCTTCTCAGCGTACCCTCCCTCTGCACCATCCCTTTCGAAGCAACCCACCAGACAGAATGAAATACTCCCTTCTTGGTCCTAGTTCCATTCTGTGTACACATTTCTATTATTTGTATACTCATTTGTCTACCTAGGCAGCAGTGCATATTCCTCAAGGGCAAGAATGGTGTCTTATTCTTTCTGATTGCCTAGCACCTAGCACGTGCCTGCACCCAGCAAGGGCCCCATTAATGTCTGTTGAATGGAAGATGAAGTGTAGAAGTTAATTGTTTCAGGGTATAATTGTTTAGGGGATGCTGTCTTGGGCTCTCCCAGTGACTAGCATACTAACTTGCCAAAGCCTTTCTTCCATGGATGGTCAAGGCTGCGTCTCTCTCTTGAGGGCGCGCCTAAGGGGCTGGAGGTCCAGGCTGAACCTGCATGGAGCCCAGCCTCTCCTCCTCCTACTCCCCTTGTGCTCCTATTTCTGAGCTCCAGGGGCCCATACCTTCCTTCCTCAGGCCTGTTTTTCACGTACCTGGGCCTGCTGGGTCTTCTCCAGCCACTGGGCACGGTCTGTGGCACTGGGACAGTGCACTATGAGGGCACTGTAGACACACTGGAACTCACTGAGATGGATCACCAGGAAGCTGCCTGGGTGGAGGAGAAGATCTGCTTCAAGGGCTGGACCTTATTTGATCCCCATCCCGCCTCCTCCTTCCACTTGCCAAGAGGCAAGGAGAAGGAAAAGGTCTCCGCAGGAGACATACTAGGGTCTCGGAGTGGTTGGCACACAAGCTTCTCCAGCATGAGTGGGGGGCGGATAACCTTGGCTTTATCTGCCTTGCGTTGGTGCTTGGTCACCAGGAGCACGTCAGAGAAGAGGAACAGGTACACGTCCAGCTGGGGGCACGCATAGGAGAAAGAGATAAGGGTCAGCTGAGCAGCGGGAAGGGCTTGACAGGGATGGGGCTCAGGCGCGGGTGTGCGTGCACATGTGCACAGGGACAAGTGCAGAACTGTGGAATGCTAGAGCTGGAAGGGGTGTCAATTTGGCCCCATCTCTCACTTTATAGGCAATGAAAGTGGCTGACTCAGGGACACGCAAACAACCAGAGCTTAGCTGGAACCACGTCCTCTTCCCAATATACACACAGACCCACAGTCACACACCTCTTCTCCCATTTCCAACTTTTCTGACTCTTATCCTGTCTCCCATTACCTCCCTCTTCTTTCTCTGCAGTTCATCTCCGCTCCTCCCCACATCTCCCTCACCTTTCCTTCTCGTCCCTCCTTTACTCGGACGGGTCCCTCCAGCAACAGCTGCCTGGTGTGCTCAGGAGCAACTCCCAGCATGGGCGATGTCAGGTCCAGGGTGGAGAATGGACGCAGGTTCTGAGAGACACAGATAGGAGAGGATCAGGGGACTGGGTGGGGTTTGTCTCTACCTGTCAGCCAAGGTGGTTCTTGGTTCTGTCACCAGCACCTTCTCTTCTCATCTTTCCCCATCTTGGACGGAGAGGGAGCATCCCAGTGCCTCCTTTTCACTCTTTTGAACTCTGTCCCTTGGATTCTCACACCCTCTGTGGCACCTCTGCCCCTTCCCTTCCAGGCTTCTGCTTCACCCGTTTGCCTGGGAACCCTGCTTTCCGAGCCCCTTCCCTCTGCCCTCTCTCACCTTCTCCACCTCCTCACTGGACGGCTCCAGCACCTCGTAGGGCCCAATGCGTTGGGCTGCGGCTACCAAACTCTCCTGCTCTTCGCCCTGGCGGACCTGCTTATTGACGTGTCGCAGGAATGACTCCACAGCTGCAATCTGGGTGAGGGTGGGGGTTGGAAGAAGGAACAGCTCAGCTCCTCACCCTGTCCATCCCACCAATCACCGACAGCCACAGCATTCTAACCTAGGCGGCCAGTCAGTGCCACACTGTGACACACGTACGAGGAAAGAGACCCACAAGAGTTCCTGGAGATCAGTTCCCACGCAGCCCCCAACTCCCAAGGGCACTGCCAGGCCCCCTACCATGGCATGCAGGGCCTCTCGGGCTCGCGCCTGGGGGGTCCTCTTTAGCACGGCCTGGAGCAGCAGTGGGTACTTGGTGATGCGCTGGTGGGGCTTGATGAGCAAGTCACCCAGCGTCTGCCTCCCCGAGCGCTTGTGCTTCTCACACCACTGCCAGGGAAGGTGGGCAGGGGGTCAGGGCTCTGCAAGCTTCCTCCTGCCCCACCGTAGTGATGAACTCAGCCTTGGAACCAGTAGAGATCAGGGATGACCTGGCTGTCTAAGTTCCCATCCCCCTTCCCTGCAGCCCCCTCCTACCTGCACGAAGGTGTGGAAGAGCGGGTTGTTGTCTTGCTGCTCCCTGGCGTAAGCCATGGTCTGCTTTACTCGCAGGCAGTACTGGACGTAGGGCTGAAACCGCTGGCTGAACTGGAGGGACAGATACGGGGGGCGAGGAGCAGGCAGGGGGAAGAAGGTCATGAGATACAGGCTCCAGCTGCAGAACACGGGGAGCAGGGAAGGGAGAGAGCCTCTCATAGACCCTTAGTCCAGCCCCTGCCAACCCCCACCTCCCATGATGGCTCTCCTCCTTGACTTCTGGCCCCCTCCTCTGGATTCCAAGGAGGACTGCAGGTTCTGAGAGGTCCCCCTACTGCTGATCTCTGAGCTCCCACCCACAGCCCCTGCTGTGCCCTGCTGCTCTGGACTTACTCCCACCATCAATAATTCAGCCGGAACGTTTTCAGGACACTGCAGATCCCATTTCACCCAGGTGGTGGGGTGGTTACCTGGGGCTTGCCCAGAAGCCCTGCTCCCGTGGAAGGGGGCCACCTAAGGCTCAAGGGAGACTGTCCTCACCTCTCTACCCCATTCCAACTCAGCAAGGCCCACATTTTCCTGGTTGGGTACAACTGTGGAAGAAAGTCTGATCCTAGGCCTCTTGCTTTCTTGTATCACACTTCCCCATGCTCCAGGTGCCCCTGTGGCCTTTCCACCTCCTCCTCCCACCTCCTAGGGGACGCCTCATTGAGGTCTCATTCTTGCTTCCAGCTGTTTGTCAAAGGATCTCCGTCCAAGAAGGAAGATTTTATAGTTGCCAAGAGCTTAGATGTAACCCTTCCCTGAAATAGCTGCATTATCATTTCATAAGGGTCTCCAGAAGCCCAGAGAGCCTTTGGAACAGAGGTCATACTTGTGGAATGAAGGGTAGGAGGTGAGGTGATATTTGGGTGAGGGGCTGTGCCCTTGGACCCTCAAGTCATGGAAGGATTCCAGCCGCATAGGCATGCCCTGCATATAGGACCCCACTGGGGGCTCTCCCAGTCCTGCCCCATCCACACACAGCCCTCCACCACGCCTCACCATCAGAAAGCCATTCTGCAGGCTGACAGGGTCCAGAGGCTGGCCCGAGGCTCGAGTCTCCTCCAGGGTAGGCCCCAGCACCTCTTCCCAAAAGCTGTGGTGGGCTCGAATCAGGCTGGGGACATTTCCAAACAGGGTCTCAGCTGACACCTGGAAGAGGGAGCCAGACTTAGCCACATGCCTTGGCAGGTCACCATCAGGCAGCCCTGGCCATGGACAAGTGAGACCACTAAGCTTGGATGGGGGTCGGGTCCGGGGGGCAGCGGTCTGCTTGGAGCAGGAAGGGGAGTAGGGAGGGCAGGGGGTGTCCTAGAAAATGGGGCAGTGGAAATTCAGATTGGGCAGCCTGGAGGGCTCCCTGTGACCCCACCCCCACTCCCTGGGCTCAGAGCTGGGATGTACCAGACACCCCTCCTGAGCACCCACTCACCTCATTCAGCAGTCCCACTCGCTGCAAGTTCAGCAAACCGGCAGCTAGGAGCTGGATGCAGGGAGAGACGAGGGTCTCAGCACCTGACCTCCTCCTCTTGGGACCCCAGCCCAGCCCTTCAACACATTCCCATCCCCAACTTCAGTACTGCTAACCTCTCTCCCAAGATCCCCAGGTCTCAAATCAGGGGCACCTCTTTGTATCCTTCCCCTCCCCCCTCCAGCAACCCTGCCCTTTCTGGTCTGGGAGAATGGGGGATAATGCGGGGGACAGGGGAGATGGCTGAGGGTAGGGCCAGAGCTGGGTGGGAGGCTCACATCCGTCATGATCTTGAGCTTTCGCACGTAGATCAGCTCGGTGGTCAGTAGCTCCCACAGTGCTTCCTGCTGGTGGCAGAGCTCCCGGCTCATGTCCTGGGGCGGGGAGAGGGCTGGTTCAGTGGGGGAACGATGACAAGAACAGCAGCTACCATTTCTTAAATGCTACTTGCTCTACTTCATAGATGACCTTTTAATCCTCAAACCAGTCCTCCAATGTGTAGGCGGTGTTATCCCTATTTTACAGATGAGGCGACCGAGGCTCAGAGAGGTCTGCTGTCTTGACCAAGGTCTCACTATAAGTGGCAGAGCCAGGATTTGAACCCAGAGCAGGATATCCCCAAATGCTTCCCCCACATGACCCCACTTCCCGAGGCCTTTCCCTCGGGAGGAGGCAGAGGTGAGACGCGTGTGTGTGTGTCTGTAACACCATGCGGACAGACACTGTGTTACAGGCCCACCTTGTGCCCAGGCACCAGCTCCTTCCAGGACTTCTCCACGGTCAGGCTGCTGTCGCGGCCCTCTCCTATCTCCCAGTGCCGCCGGTCCTCAGGGGGCAGGCGGGGCATCCCAAACATGCTGAACGTATGCAGCCTCACCTCCAGCTCGTGGGCCTTGGTGACTTCCTGGAGGAGCCAAGAAGGGGATCAGCCCTGGCCACATGCTGGGCACCCAGGCCACCTGGCCAGGGAGGGCTGTGTGCATGTGTGTGTGCATGTGTGTGTGTGTGTGTGTGTGTGTGTGTGTGTGTCTGGGAATGGGAGGTGGCAAACAGCACTGCAAGTGAGTGGGGACATGGAAGCCTGGGGGACAGGGATCGGCCTTGGCTGGGATTACAGGGGAAAGGGTGTTGCTGGAACAGGGATAGAGAGGCACCCTGGTCTGCAGAAATGTCCCCGGACAGAGGGGTCTGACCTGGGATCCCTGACCAGAAAGGTTCCTTCCAGAGGTGTCCTGAGACAGAACACTTCAGAGGGACCTTCAGGTGGAGACCAGAACAGGACTCAGGGAACCAGTGGTCTCAGGCCACATTTTGACATTTGGCCATGAAATACACATTTTTATGAGGCGGCATGACAGAGACGTACCCCTGAGAGCTAAATCTGGCTTCCTGGAGGGGCTGCCCGTGATCTCAGCTTGGATCCTCTGTGGAGGACGTCACAGCTCAGGTGCAAGCATGGGGATGGAGGACAGGGACTCCTTACCTTGAGTTTGGGGGAGTGAGGTGGGCCAGACCCAAAATAGACTCCATGCCTCTTCTCGGGCTCTGGTTCTCGCAGCCTCATGGGAGACAGGCCTCGGGCTTGGCCAGAACCCTTGGCAAAGGGGACATAGTCCTGGAGGCGTCGGCGACTGAGATCCTGGGGGAGGAGCGGGGGCAGTTCTGGGGGTGCCTCCCTTCCCCTAGAAGTCCCAGAGAGCTGGTGGAGGCCAGGCTTGGCTCTAGCTGGCGTCCCCCACCCCTGCAAGTTGGGCTGGCTCACCTCTCCCCTCAAACCAGTTTGGTGTGGAGCCACTCCTGCCCTGAGTCACAGAGGCTGCTGCCAGAGAGGCCTAGTGACTTGGGCAAAGACATGCCAACCTGACTCCCCAGGGGCAGAAGCAGGCCCTCCTCCAGAGCAGCAGCACAGGCACGCACATGCCTGGGCTCTGGCGGGTATACCCCCATGTCTGCCCACTCACACGTGTGCTCCCTGTACCAGGGCTTGCATGCACAACGCACGGTGCACACTGCGCTCTGGGTCCCTCACAGCTTCCCGTATCTGTCAACAGCCTCCCTCACACGTGGGGACGAGAGTACACACATGTGCGGCCTCCCCCCCAGGGGCATGCAGCCTGTGTCCTAGCCAGTGGGACTGGCTACCCTTCCATGTGAGAAGTTGAGGCCACGGCCACAAGTCTCCTCCCAGGCAGGCCTGGTCACATTCCTTGACCTGGCTGTGGCCTGACTTAACCCACATACTTCCCAGTCTCCCTTCCCGCCCTCAGCCTGGGAGAGTCCCCAGCTGTCTTCCCAGTCTCCCAGTGCCAAATCCTCCTCCAGTAAGGCAGGGGATACCCCCAGCCGGAAGCACAACTCTTCTCAAGGTGGAGGGAAGCCTGGAGGCTGAGGGAAAGACCGCTAGGCCTCCACACCCCTTTCCTTGGTCAGCATTGGAGGTGGGCCAGGAGGGTGGAGCTGGGGTGCAGCCCCACACCCCTCCTCTACTTGTACAGTAGGGACACCCTGAACCTTTGCTCTTCCTCCAGCCCTGACTCAGAGGGAGGCAGTTCTCAGGGACCCCACACGCTCCTCCCAAGTAGAGGCGGGAGTCTGGGAGGTGCCAACCTCAGGGTTTGGTGACCTTCCCCCCAGCTCCGTGGCTCAGACTTGTTTAACAGCAGCTGTCTGAGGGCCTGGCTTCTCCTGGCTCTCTGCCTCGCCTGCCCCAGCTGTCTGGGATGGGTGTAGAGTCCTGGGAGCCTGGCCCAGCACCACCCTCCTCCCACTCATAAGCCAGGAGAGAAGGTAGGGGTGAGGGATAGGAATAGAGCAGCCCATGAACCTGTAAGGGGACAGAGACTTGCAAGCCTGGATATCCTCCTTCCTGCCCCACTCAGGTCTTTTGGGGCACAGCCTGGACTCACCAGCACGAGGCCTCCTCGGGGATAGAGACTGCCAGCAGCACTCTGGGTGGAGGCCCGATGCCGGCCCCCATAGGTCTCAATGCGGGAGGCCACAAGTCCTTGGAGGGGACCCTCATCTGGAAGACGAAAGGCCTGCATCCCTTTTCTCCTGGGTCACCTCCAAAGGGTCATAACTCCAATGTCCAGAAGAGAGGGGTCCCTTGAGGCTGCAAAGAGAAAATACAGGGATGGAAGGGCCAGCCTTGATCAGTGGGTGGCACCAGGCTGGAGATCAAGGCCATGGGGATGGGGAGGGAAAGAGGATGGAGTGGGAGAGGAGGGGGCCAAGGGCTTGGTCTCTTGTTGGGGAAGCATGGCGGCCTCATCTATGACTTGGTGGGGGTGGGGTATGCACCCACATGCTGGGTAGAAAGCCCCTTGGGGCTGTACCTCCTCCCTCAAATGTGCGCCTATTTGGTGTGCAACCTCCCACACTGGCCTCATAGGGTGCTGGAGTCCTAAGAACAGCTGGGAGCAAGGGTCACAGACAGGTCTCCAGCTTCCTGGAGGCCCCCTGGGAGGATTCCCCTTGCACCTAGCTACACCATCCCCTTCCGCATAGTAGCGTGGGGAAAAGCTGTAGGGAGGCCTGGAGGCAGGGGGCTGGAGACTGCTGGACCTGCCACCTGTTTTTGTACAGCTTGCAAGCTAAGAATGCTTTTTACATGTTTAAATAGTTGAAAAAAATCAAAAGAAGAATAATATTTCACAACACATGAAAATTATGTGAAATTCACATTCAGTGTCCATAAATAAAGTTTTATTGGAACATGGCCACACTTATTTACAATTGTCTGTGACTGCTTTCCTGCTAGTTGTGACAGAGACAGTAAAGTCTTCAAAATCTGCTACATTTACTATCTGGCCCGTAGTGATGTTTGCCTGCCCCTTCCCTGGACCCTCCTGGCCACAGACAAGGAGGTGAGGGAGGGACAGCTGTCAGGCCGCTGGCTTAGAGATGGGCCAAGTGGAAGTAGGCTACGCTTCGTCTTCTCCAGCCTCTGGGAACACCTCCGCGGAGCTGGCAGCCCACTGTGGGGCTCCATCCCTTCCCCCTAACCCTGGGTAGGGGACCCACCCTCCGAGTGGGCAGGGCCCGGAGAGGAGAGGCCTCCAGCAGGTGCTGGTCCCCTCCAGGTGGCCCCGAGGCCCTTGCCCTGCCCTCCTCTTACGGTTTCTCTGATTTATGAGCAGCAGAGGAAAACGTTCACTGCCTCCCAGGCTCCCTTCCAAAAATCCTCTCTCCAAGGGCTGTCTTCCTCTCCCTCTTCCTACCCATGGTCCTTTTTGGCTTTGACTCGGGCTGCCCTTCCTCTCTCGACCCCCGCCCGGTGCCCCGCCCCCGTCCGCCCGGCCCTCCCGCCGCTCACCTGTGCGCGCAGGTGTCCGGGCGCCCACGGCCCGCGCTGCCGGCTTCCGCCCGCGGGGCTCCCGGTGGCCGACCGCTCCCGCAGCGATGCCAGCCCCGCTGCCGGCCTGGGTCTGGGACCGAGCGGCCCGCGGGACCGAGCAGCGCGGGGACGGGCCGGGAGGGAAGGTGGAGGGAGAGGCGGGGACGCTGGCTGGCACCGCCCTCTCACGGCGGGCACCCGACCGGCCGCGCAGTGCGGACGTCTGTGGGGCCCTGGGGACCCAGGGGCCCCTACCCGGGACGCGGCCACCACCCTTCCCCCGCAAGCAGAGCCCACTTGGCAGGACCCTCTCCCCCTATTTCCTTCGCCCCTGAACTCACCACCCAGCCGGTCCGGGCGGATGGGCTGGAACCGCCTGGCGCCCTCCCCTCCCGGCCAGACCCCCGAGGCGCCAGAGTAATAAAGCAGAAATGCGAGGCTGGGCGCCGCCGCAGGAAGAGGGGAGGGCAATGACCGAGTGATGTGGGGCAGGTGCCCACCTCGCTTTCTGCGTGCGGTGGGTGGCCGGCTATCCCCGCCTCCCCTTGCCTGTCTTCCTCCTTCAACCAGGCAGGGGAGCAGGACAGCCAGCAGAAGGGGTGTGGGACACAGGTGTCCCCCCCCCACCGTCCCCCCGCGGGCATTCACACCGCTCTCTGCCCTCGGAGTCCAAAGTGTGACCCTTATCTCTCCCTTGCCTGCCCTGGCCGTCCGCTGGAAGGCTGGACTTTGCCTTTGCTCCAGGGATGGCGCCTAGTGCCAGGCTGAGGCCTGACCCAACGCTACTCCCATTACCTAGGACTGGGGATGGGAGAGCAGGGGTATCAGATGGGGGCACCCTCACCCTTCACTGGCAAACAGGCACACTCCAGGCTTCACAAGGGCGGTCCCAGCACCATCAGCGGCTGCTAAAATAGACACTGTTCAAGAAAGGGCACTTGCTGGGTGTTTCATGAAAGGATCACATTTTCACATCCCCAAATCATGACACATCCTCCAACAGAAACGCTACATATTGGGAATCAGAAGTGTCCATGGATGTGTGGTCCTTAAAATCTTACCATCAGGAAGCGCAAGACGGTGTAATGGGGGTGGGGCAGGCCTGAGTGCCCTCCCCTCCTGTGGTCTCCCCTCACCCCATATCAGCATGCAGTGATTGATACAACTCCTTACATTTGTAGAGCACTCTGAAATTCACAAAACACTTTCAAAAGCATAATCCCATTGTACCCCTAGGGGAGAGGGTCTCCATTCTCCTCTCCTGTCTGGCGTATTAAACACAGAAACGATCTGAAGGGTCCTAGTCCTCGCCCTGGCTCTGGTGACTCTGCTTTGTTTGGGAGAGGAATCTTCATCATTTGATTGTTTCTGATTTTGTCCGCCCTCCTGGTATTTGCCCTCCAATAATTTCTTTTTCTGAGCTTGCTGTTACATGATTGCTCTGTTAGTTCAGAAGAGTTCTTTGTATGTCTGACGCTCTACATCCTACCTCCTGCTTCCTGCCTCCCAGTAGAGTGGGATCAGTTTCAGGGAGAGAAATTGAGTGGGGCAGGAATGCAGTGGCGAGAAGCACTTTCCTCTTCCCGATATCAGGGGGGGTGTGTGTGTGTGAGTGAATGAGTGTATGAGGGGGAGAGGGAAGGGGAGGGGCAGGGGGAGGGGACGAGGGAGAGATCCACGATCCAGGGATGGCAAGAGCAGTCATGAGGGAAAGAGAGCTAATAAACCAGGAGATGGGGGGCCAGCCCGGTGGCGCAGCGGTCAATTGCGCGCTTCAGGACCGGGGTTCACACGTTCGGATCCCAGGCGCGCACCGACGCACCATTTGTCAAGTCATGCTGTGGCGGCATCCCATATAAAGTAGAGGAAGATGGGCATGGATGTTAGACCAGGGCCAGTCTTCCTCAGTAAAAAAAAAAAAAAAAAAAAAGAGGAGGATTGGCATCGGATGTTAGCTCAGGGCCAATCTTCGTCACAAAAATAAATAAATAAACCAGGAGATGGTGATTACTGGCAGTATTAAATGACACCCCAGAGATATTAGTATTAAATGACACCCCAGAGAGAGCCGGTGCCAAGGGCCCCTAGCTTATCCTCCCAATGTCTCCCAGAAAGAGGAGAAAGGAGGAGTAAGGGGGAGATTGAAATTGAGAGAACATCAGAGACAAGCCTGGACTTAACGGCCTCTGGGGTGAGCTGGTTAGACTGGCCCAGTGGACAGGAGGAAAGTTAACCCTTTCACTCCCCTCCAGGCTGAGATCCAATCTCCACCCACCACTGCCGCAGGGCCTGTCTTCAGCCTGTCTGGGAGGAGAGGTTCCCAGGGAAAGCTGGAGTCTAAGAGCTGGAGGTGTGGCCTGGAGAGCGCGGGCTGGGAGGCGGGACTCCTGTGTTCTGTTCTGTTCCGGCCTTGTCGTCAGATGGTTGCTCTCACAACCTCTGTTTTCCCTGGCTCCTTCATGCTGTGGAGAGAAGACGCCTGCGACAGGCTGAGAGGGGACACAGCTCAGGGAGCTGAATGAAGCCTGAAGAGTTGGGAGGCTGGAGGGCTGGCCTCTGCTGAGTGGCACTGGGGAGCCCTTGGCCCTTGGCCCAGAGAGGGACACCTGGATACTTGTCCTTCTTCCTGGCTGGCCCCAGACTTTCCTCACATCTCTAGCTTGAGTCCCATCTCTCCTCCATGCCTCAGTTTCTCCCCTAGTGCAGATACCCCTCATCAGGCCCCTGGCTTGTCTGCCCAAGATAGGAGCTCTGCGGATCAAAAGCCTCTGTCTGATACATCATGAGGGTAACATTCTGGGGCTGACATAGGGGGCCCCAAGTCCCTTCTCCCCTCCCTCATAGGCAAGAAGTTCAGGGAGACTCACCTGAGCCCTGAGCTCTGCCCGGGCCACACCTTTCAGGGCCAGGAGGGAGGCCGTCTGGGTTAATGAGATGCTAGCAGGCTCTAGCAACAGGAGGCAGCTGACGGGGTGTGTCTTCCTTGCCCCAGAGTAGGGGAGACATGGGGAAGTTGAGGGCTGGAGTAGGGAGGCACCAGGTCATGTGAGGCAGATAAAACCAGGAGGCCAGGCCACTGGGCACAGCTGCCAGTACCTTAGAACAGTGTTCATCTGTGCAACGTATTAGGAATATACAGACTATATATTTCTAGCATGAGGAATTGTCCTAATCCTACTATAACAGTCCCTGACTTCTGGGAGATTACAGACTAATGGGGAGTCAGACAGACTAATGGTGAACAGAACACTGATATATGTTACACGTATAAGGAAGGAGCCAGGACCTGTGGGAACACTTTGGAGGGACTGATAGCAATATAAGGAAGCCAGGGAAGGCTTCACAAAGGAGGTAAACGTTGTGCTGGGACTTTAAGGATGAGTAGGAGTTTGCTGGGCCCGGAAGGAGGAAAGGGCATTTCTGGAGGAGGGAACAGCATGAGCCAAGACAGAGATGTATTTAAAAAGAAAGGGGGAGGGCCAGCCCCGTGGCTTGGTGGTTAAGTGCATGCATTCCGCTACTGGCGGCCTGGGTTCGGATCCCGGGCGTGCACCAATGCACCACTTGTCGGGCCATGCTGAGGCCGTGTCCCACATACAGCAACTAGAAGGATGTGCAACTATGACATACAACTATCTACTGGGGTTTTGGGGGAAAAAAGGAGGAGGATTGGCAATGGATGTTAGCTCAGAGCCAGTCTTCCTCAGAAAAATAAATAAATAAAAAGAAAGGGGGAAAGGGCAGGCTTTCCCAAGGGCCTCCTGAGAGTCTGCCCGGAGGGCTTCCTGGGCACATCCCACCCTCCAAGCAGCCGATCTCTGGGGGGCAGTTTAGGAGGACAAACTGTCTTCCTGGCGTTCAAGGACCTCCCAGTATGACCCTGAGTCTACTTCCCACCTTCACAGGCTACTCCCCTCCTCCACCCCTGGAGGTGGCCATTCTCTGGATCTGCCCCAGCCTGCCTGATTCCATGCCTTTGCTCAGGCACTCCTCTCAGCTGGCATAACATCTTTGACCCTTGTCCTCCCGTCTCCACTTCTACCTCCCTCACGGTCCTCCACAGGGACTGCTGCCTTCAGGAAACTTTTCTTGATAATCCCCAACCAGAGCGATCACTTTCTGCTTTCAACTGCCTGGGCCACTATGTTTCTTTAAAAGGCACCACTCTTATTCTGCCCACTACTGTTGCTATTTGTGTGGAAGCCCCTGTCCCTGAAGGCTCCTTGAGGGCAGGGACCAGCCCCTAGCATAGGGGCTGGCACAAGACTGGCAGCCGGTGCTTGTGGAATTGAACCACATTGACTTGCTAGTGAACCTGGATAGGACTGACCTGTAGGCAGACTCGCCAACTCTGTCATCTCTCGACCTCTGCCCAGAGGAGCAGCCTTTGGTTTTAGACACCTGGAATTCTTCCGGAACTTCAGTTTGGCATTCCTGCTTCATTACTGTAGTTTCAACATTTCCTTGGTGCTCCTTCTGAAGGTTCCTGATCCCTTGGGACAAACACGCTGTGTGAGTTTTACCTTGCATGCCACTTGTGATGGATTAGTAATGGTTTCCCTAGAATATTATGTTAAGAAGGATTCTGTGGATGATGGGGGAGCGCTGAGATGGCTTAGCAATGTCTGCCTTGGGGGGAGGAGGGGCTCCTTCTGCCTTAGTGTGAAGAGGTTAGTTTATTAGATGTTTTTCTAACGTATTAAGCCAAGACTGTGAGAGTGTGGGCTTTTTCCTGAGGAAAGCTGAGGAAGAGCTGAGGGGAGAAAGTGAGTAGAAGAGGGGCTGAGGGCTCCAAAGGTAGATTGACCTTCTTGGGATTTCCCGGGGCAGACCTTGGCATCAGGTGTCTGAATGTCCAGATCTGTGCTCTGACTATGTTCCCTCCTGCTCTTGACATGATCAGTGGGCAGAGGAACTGTGGAATCTTAGCCAGACCAATAGGGCCTTCATGGCTCAGGATCCCTGGAAGGTTCCTTAGCAGACGTGCCTAGGGCTATGACAGTGAGTC